GTTCTGTTGCTCAGGGTCAAAAGAGACTCCAATGTCTTTCCCATTTAGTATTCACTGTACAGTTACAGCTAAGAATGGAATTATTCTCCAAGATTTGCTGTGAGAGCAAGGTATTGCTTTCCCTGGCTCAAACATACTGTAGCCAGGGCTATGGAGTGAGAAGACCGAGCTGAAGGACTATTAAAGCAGGCAGATTGTGACTGTGGATAGAATCAAGTAGGCTTACTTATGTTCCCATCAAGCAGGGGGAAAGCACTCTTAGATTGTATGGTTGTTTGGTTGTGATTAAAGTGCCACAGTGTTTCTTGTAGCTCTACTGTATTGTGAATATATCCAGTCTGTTTCTGGCCAACCATACATATGCCAAATAATAGGACTCCCTGTCGGCTGCTCGTCTGTCTGTCTGTGAGTGGAGAAGGTGTGAGCTCTAATGATGCTCCCCAGTGTTTCTCAGGGAGGTGAGATGGCTGCTAGCTGCTGGGTGAAGGGGGTGGAGGCTCTCTGACAGGCAAAGGAGTGAGGCTGTCAGTTCTGAAGAACAGATACAGTATAGAGTCTTAAAGGTAAGATACCTCTCCCCCACTCCTTTACCCCTGGAGGGTTAGTATGAATAATGAATTACTCCTATGGTAAGTACTCTTGAGGCACCCTCTACTGTACCTACATACTGTAAAATTGTTTGCTGGCTGTAGGACAAGTGGACTATCCCCAATTTAAAAGTTTGTGGCTCCAATTTGATTCAAGCTATTTTCTAAAAATTGATTTTCAGAGACTCTGAGAATCCAATCCCTCTTTATTTGCTCAAATCTTAGCTCAATAACATACCCAGGATCCTTTTCTGAGAAACAGACCTGAAGTTGGAATTTACTTTTCCAAGCTCACTCTGTTGAAGACTGATTTCAGAGGTCTAAAGGCATCAGTAATAATGTAGATGGCCAAATCAATGTTAGCAATTACCCAGATTAATGAACAAGAGTTGGACAATATCCCGGAGATCATTGTCGACCTCTGACATCAGACTGTGGGAGCCCTGTCCAGAGAACCACTCCAGACAAAACCGATACCAATTCACAACACTATTCAATTTGCATGCTAATGCAGCCTAAGCATGGTGAGTAGAGTAGGCTTCAGGGCTGGGTTGTCTAGGGCTGCTTACGCCGGCACGAAAGACAAATCACCTCCCCAATAACAGCATCAGACATTGGCTCCAGTGTGAGAATTGGAACATAGAGTGGAGTGGCCATGAATTATGAAACATATAATGCTTGAGTAGATAATCCACTACATGTTAGCTTCATCGTGAGGATTGGGAGACGGGCCAAGTCGGCGTCAATGCCGTCTATTCTATTGGTCTAAAATGTTGTCCAAAATAATATGCATATCTGTAAGCTACTAGTGCAACATATCCTCAAGGCCTACACATTCTAGCTATGACTCTTTTGTGCTAATTCAAAAACACATTATTGCTGTAAAATAATCCAGACAAATGTATTTCTGCAAGTTTACTTTTTAATGTATAGCAACAGTACAAAGTGAATCATTTGCTTGCAAAATAGGAGTGTTTTGTATGTACAATATTTATACAATAATGTATAGTTTTAAAAAGGTTAAATGTTAAAATGTCTTACAGGTTATTGCACAACACATTTATAAATGTTCATCATCAAAACGTCACACATGAAACAGTGTAGCTATAATAGTGGGAGGGATTATTTGTAATAACAGGACTTTACAAGGTTTTTTCTTCTTTTCTTTAACCTCTTAGTTTTTTACTCTTTTACATGAAATGACCGAAGATTTATTTATGGAGTGCGCCAAAATTTATGTTGACCAAAATGACCAGGACAATTTACTGGTCAAAATGACTATAGAATAATGGAGAAATCATCAGGAGCGTAATGAATGTCTTCAATGCAGATAAAGATAACAAACACAAACCCTGGATTAAAGCAATCCTATGGAGAGCCCAGTTTTATAATGACCATCTTTAAGATGGCGCTCAATGAATGCAGCAGCAAAAATAATTTGTCATTTGAATATGTTAAAATCAAACCATTTAAAAGTCTGTCATTTTGATCTCATTCTGTAAAAACATTAATGAGACATATTTAAAAGAATGATACAGTCTACTTGATGCAACAGGAATCTTGAGTGTCCACCTTTAAAAGCATGCTACGTGGAAGCTTGAGGATTCTCTGAAAATATAACACACAACAAAGATCTACTGTAATTCAAGTATCATGTTCAGTGTAAACAATGACTGATGGCTGAGAGGTCTCATAAACCAGGACGAAAATGATCTGGCCCACAGGAAGTGGTTAGTTGTCATTAATCTTCCAGCTCTATGGAATGATTCCCAAAGCTCCATTTGGCTACTTTGGGTCACTGCTAATCTAGTTGGTTAAATTAGCAGTCTAGAAAGCCACTTCCCTCATGTCTGTCATTCCCAGAGTGCCTTAATAACTTAAGACCACCTTATTCAACAATTTTATATACAATTCCTACTTTGTCTACAGGGCATTTACAGTGAGGGAAAAAGGTATTTGATCCCCTGCTGATTTTGTACGTTTGCCCACTGACAAAGAAATGATCAGTCTATAATTTTAATGGTAGGTTTATTTGAACAGTGAGAGACAGAATAACAACAAAAAGATCCAGAAAAACGCATGTCAAAAATTGTATAAATTGATTTGCATTTTAATGAGGGAAATAAGTATTTGACCCCCTCTCAATCAGAAAGATTTCTGGCTCCCAGGTGTATTTTATACAGGTAATGAGCTGAGATTAGGAGCACACTCTTAAAGGGAGTGCTCCTAATCTCAGTTTGTTACCTGTATAAAATACAACTGTCCACAGAAGCAATCAATCAATCAGATTCCAAACTCTCCACTATGGCCAAGACCAAAGAGCTCTCCAAGGATGTCAGGGACAAGATTGTAGACCTACACAAGGCTGGAATGGGCTACAAGACCATCGCCAAGCAGCTTGGTGAGAAGGTGACAACAGTTGGTGCGATTATTCGCAAATGGAAGAAACACAAAAGCACTGTCAATCTCCCTCGGCCTGGGGCTCCATGCAAGATTTCACCTCGTGGAGTTGCAATGATCATGAGAACGGTGAGGAATCATCCCAGAACTACACGGGATGATCTTGTCAATGATCTCAAGGCAGCTGGGACCATAGTCACCAAGAAAACAATTGGTAACACACTACGCCGTGAAGGACTGAAATCCTGCAGCGCCCGCAAGGTCCCCCTGCTCAAGAAAGCACATATATAGGCCCGTCTGAAGTTTGCCGATGAACATCTGAATGATTCAGAGGAGAACTGGGTGAAAGTGTTGTGGTCAGATGAGACCAAAATGGAGCTCTTTGGCATCAACTCAACTCGCTGTGTTTGGAGGAGTAGGAATGCTGCCTATGACCCCAAGAACACCATCCCCACCGCCAAACATGGAGGTTTGGGGGTGTTTTTCTGCTAAGGGGACAGGACAACTTCAACGCATCAAAGGGACGATGGACGGGGCCATGTACCGCCAAATCTTGGGTGAGAACCTCCTTCCCTCAGCCAGGGCATTGAAAATGGGTCGTGGATGGGTATTCCAGCATGACAATGACCCAAAACACACGGCCAAGGCAACAAAGGAGTGGCTCAAGAAGAGGCACATTAAGGTCCTGGAGTGGCCTAGCCAGTCTCCAGACCTTCATCCCATAGAAAATCTGTGGAGGGAGCTGAAGGTTTGAGTTGCCAAACGTCAGCCTTGAAACCTTAATGACTTGGAGAAGATCTGCAAAGAGGAGTGGGACAAAATCCCTCCTGAGATGTGTGCAAACCTGGTGGCCAACTACAAGAAACGTCTGACCTCTGTGATTGCCAACAAGGGTTTTGCCACCATAAGTCATGTTTTGCAGAGGGGTCAAATACTTATTTCCCTCATTAAAATGCAAATCAATTTATAACATTTTTGACATGCGTTTTTCTGGATTTTCTTGTTGTTATTCTGTTTCTCACTGTTCAAATAAACCTACCATTAAAATTATAGACTGATCATGTCTTTGTCAGTGGGCAAACGCACAAAATCAGAAGGATATCAAATACTTTTTTCCCTCACTGTAGGCCTAGTATTAAACATGATACACTTTTGGCACTAAGAGGTCAACAAACTGAAGTGATCATTTTAAATAATGTATATATTTGGAATGGCTTTCTATCTAGATGTGTTCTATTTATAATGTATGGAATTCTGATGGTTTAATTCAATCAAATATGCACTGCAGTATTTACACAATAGCATAAATAGATTCACAGAAAGATTTTGGGCACCACATTACCTCCCCTCACCATGCACCCAGTGTCCAGATTTAGGCACATGTTTACACAGGCAGTAGGCAGAGTAACTGTGTAACCATTGCTAAGGCAGATTTGATTGGATCCAGCCCAAAGTATGCAAAAATGGAATTGAACCCCCACCCTGTAATAAGAGCTTTGTGTGTCTGGAAAGCTGAATGTCGGGCAGAGCGATAGCCAAACAAAAATATTCTGCTACCTTGGATGACATGGAGATTCAGGATAACATTTTACTGTCACCCAATCTCAGAGTTAACTAACTCTAACTTTCATAGAGCCTTCATACGGTTTCATAAAGGCTTTATGACCAACATTAGACTTGTCCACTGAAGTGGAAATGCCAAGGCTATCATATGTATGCCATTAGTTCATACTTAGATAAATGTATTTTGTTTTTGAGGTAAAAACAGAAAGTAATTTTTTCTTTGCCTCCACATGTGGCCACATTGCAGCCAACAGAAAGAGGACAGCTGTGCTTGGTGAATTTGCTTGTCTATCCGTGTGCTTCCCTTGTTGAGCACTCAGGCTGAATTATTCTGTAGTTCACTTCACTTTACCTGCTGCTTTTGGGAATGCTTGCACTGCTGACAGCTTGTGGCCTGTGTCCTGGGCCTTGTCATGTCAGTGTGTCTCTGAGTACACACGTCTGTCTGTCTCAGCTCTCCACAGACATGGCTGCGATGATCTGCTCCACCTTGTAGGCCAGCCGTTGCTTCTGGGCCTGCTCATCCTGCTCCAGGGCCTCAATGATCTGACACACACACATATACAAGACAGACATGAAATCATCAAAGCATGCAGGGAAACACAAGGTTACTGTACTTTATGCTGCACATTCCCTCCTGTTACTACACATAGACAGGCTAAGGGATACTTTAATAATAGTTTGAATCTAGATGCCTATGTTTTGGATGCCACCCTGGTCCCCTACTTTAATTTGTAAAGATATTGAGGTGTAGGGCCTCACCTCTTGGCTGTACTTGCTGACGTAGGCGTAGATCTCGTGGAGGGCACTCAGCACATTGAACTCATTGGAGTGAAGGCGGGCCTGCTCGGCCAGGTAGGCATTCATGTCCTGGTCGCTGATGGCAGGCAAGCGGTTTATGTCCGCGTAGTACCTAGAGGGAGACAAAGACACACACTGTACTGTCAGCAGCCATCAAGCCTGGGGGTTAGAGCTGTTCTGTCAGCCCACGTGTGACTGTAAGCTATAAAGGTAGTCTGACTAATAAAGTATGTCTTCCTCAGTCATTTCAGTGGAAAATAATAACTAATCATCCATTAATAATATCGCAGTGATGTAACTAACACACACATCTCACCTCTCCACCCAGCTCTTGTAGTGGGGGATGTCCTTGGCGTAGAGTAGCTTGGTGGAGGGTGAGTCCTTGCCCAGGCGATGCTCTGAGGTAGAGCAGGAGTCCATGAAGGTCTGTGCCACCACAGACAGACAGGCATCTGTGATGCTGCTCTTATGGATGTCAAACACAAACTGGGGGTTCTTGATCACATTCACCCAGAAGCGCAGAGGCAGGCTGGGGCAGAGAGAGGACAATAAATAACCGTTTCTAGACAATCTATACATTAAGACAATCAGTATAAATTCATTATTTTGTGCTATTGCTTTCAAGTAGCACATTAAATCTGCACTCCCTCACCAATTGCTTTTCCATGTGTGGCGAACGTCCATGTCATGGATGCCATGCTTGTCAGCCTGCTCGTCCAGGAAGTCAAACATGTACTTGATGGCGAGTGGCAGAGCACTGCCCCAGCACACAGTGCTGAACAAAGTCTCAAACAGGTCATCCACAAACTTCTGCAGCGTACCCTGACAAAAACACCACAGCAATGTTAAAAGCACACCATAGCATTGGAACATACTTACTGAATCTGTAATTGCTAAGATGCTCTGGGGGAGGGTGAGGTAATACCTTAGTAGCCAGTAGCCTGGTCAGGTAGATCTCTGACACCATCTTGGAGCCGCGCTCGCCCTCCTTCTGGTCCCCGTGGTCGTGGTTCTTGACCAGGTGCCACACCTTCATCCCGCTCTCCATGTCCGGGGTGAGCATTGGCACACGGGAGTGAGGGCTGTCAGGGCTGGTGGGGGTGGAGCGGAACGGTACATCTGCAGAGACAGAGAGAGGGTCACAGGCGGATGGTCACAAAACATGAGCAGGAACATCAGTAGATTAGGTAGAATAATGAATAGGTAATTGAGTGGTTTGGTGGTGATAGTGGCTCCAGGGCAGGCCTGACTGACTGACTGACCGTATCGGCTAATGCTGCGTGGGAAGCTGGCTGAGGAGGGCAGGTTGTAAGAGGACATCTGCTTGGGCACCAGGGCCACCACACAGCGGTCTGACACCTGCAGGATTCATAGGAGAAACACAAGGGTTCATGTCAGTTTGACCCACTCCCAAATCAACATTATTGGGTCAGAATGATTTCCACAGAAACATGACATTGATGTGATGAATCCAGCCCGATGAGACCTATAGGAGTTATTAAATGTACAATTTGAGATATATAAGGAACTTGATAATACAGTTTGTGAAATAAAACATGCATTTGCAGTGATGCTTGAACGTTAGACCCAATCTAGCAACGACTATTTTTTAGATATCGGTTGCTATGCTATAAATGTCATGGATGTTCCTTTGTGTGATATCCATTACATGCTGAGAAATGTCCTATAGAGTCTGCTCACTTATGCTATGTGCATGCCTTTTGCAGTAAAGCAGGCTTCCAACATGAGCAGAATTCACTGCTGCTGCTGCTTTGCAGTCTCAGCTGTCACACAGAACCAGGTACGCACCAGAGAGACTAAAAGTAATTGAGGAAAATTGTTCATTTCCTTGATAGATTTTATCAACACATTATGCCTCTTTCAAACCTTCCTCCTGGTGTGGCAGCCAAGGCTGAATGTATTTGTCTCTTGGCTTCATGCAAACATGTTTTACACCCCAGCTGGAGAGTCAGAGCATTTGTGAGTGCAGAGTGAGATTGACTGTAATGTGTTTACACTAGTGCTCTATTTGGAGCTGCTATGAACACCCCCCATGATTTACCTGTAGGAGGAAGCAGGTGACTCATACAGGAGATGAAAGAGGTGGATCAGTTTGGTTTACTTGGCCAGAGGCAGCAGTGAGTACAACATACTGTACATTCATGTTAGTGAACTGTGTGATGGGGATTGGGGAGTGAGTGGGTTGACCTGGTAGTGCATGAGGGTGTTGAGTCTCTTCCAGTCGCCTTCAATCTTAGTGGTGATGTCTTCATCCTGCAGGACCACACGTGCCGTCCTCCCCTGGCGCCATTCTGTTGGGGATATAAACACAGGGGTGCATCTATGAGTCCCTCAATAAGTCAAACAAGCAGACAGTGTATAATCACTTGTTTATCTCAATATCAGTTATTGTAAGTCATCCATTAATTCCGACTGGAGCCAGTCTGTCTCACCTAGGTCCATGTCTGCAGCGCGGGGCCTCTGGGAGAAGTGCATGTTCCTACAGACAGCATCCAGGATCTTCTCCTTCACCTGGGTGATGGTGTCACAGTTGAGCGCCTTGACAGGGATCTCAGGGCTGTTCTCGTTGTCTGGGTTCACACAGCTCAGAGTCTTAGGAGGGACCAGAGAGAGAGAGAGAGAGCTGTCATCACTACCCACTGTCCCTTTCTCTACACTAGTCTAATGGCTGCATGGAGGAGGCTCTCCTCTCCTTGTGTGCCATCTCTCTCACAGCTTTGGCCAGAAATGTAATTTCACACTTTCAGCTGGATGCCGGGTTGCCAGCTCCAGCAGGGCACTAAATGGGTAATGAAACACAACCTCTCCGACAGGGCGATCAGAGAGGTGTCATCTTGTCACTGGGCTGCTCTCAGGCTAAGGCCTGGGGGATGAGGCACACTGCTGCTGCTGCTGCATTCAACTTCTGCTTTAGCTACAGACAATTTTCCCCAGTAGCCAAGCAAAAACTGGGACTGTGTGGTCTTGGTTAGATAATCTTGTTTAATTCTTAGCTAATTGTGTCACTGAAAAGCATGTAAAATATTATTTGGCTCTTTTGGTTCTTTACCGTTTTATTATCAAGCAAATTAATTATCTCTTATTCAGCAGTTTGACATAAGGGCACCATGAGTTCATATTTACAGAGCACAGCATGTTGCCTACCAACTGTGGTGTAGGCAAGCCTTCCACCATCATGGTGGTAACTAAGAAATGTTGACTCACCAGTGTCTTGTATTCAATCTGCTGGCGGATGAGTTTGTCTTCACTGAGGGAGTAGCGAGCCTCCCCGGTGATGCAGTCTATAGGCCCCTTCTCCATTTGCTGCTTTATGGCACAGTAGAGCATGAAGAGAGGCTCACCTGCACACTCCTTTGTCCAGGGAGGAAAGGAGGATGAGAGAGGAGAGGATTGAGAGAGGAAGGAGAGGGGAGACATGCCTATGAGCTATTCACCCCCATATGACTGGGATTCAGAGAACAGAGCATGAGTCATCAACTCTAATAAACTCCAGGTTGCTTAGCGTTGATTTGTAGAGACCAATAAGACATGCTTGACCTCTGAGGTGAACATTATCGCTCTACATTGTTCATAAAACATATTCATATCACACACCATGGGACACAAGTGTAATCCCAACGCACATAGAAATCCATCTGGTGTATAATCAATAACAATCATTAGAGGATTGCAGTAATACATCAAGCTGACATCTGCAGTGATAAGGTTCCAAGTCATTGATATTACCTTAAGGAATTTGTGAAGTAGGAAGGCAAACCAATTTGTCAGCATCTTCTCTGCAACTGACTCAGTTCTGCAAGAAAGGAACAGATGGATACATTTTACCAGGTAGATGTGTAAAGGTAGATTGGTCTGACCATATACATGTAGGTAGAGAAAATGCTTAAGAGGTAGAAAACCCAATGTTTATGTAAAAGTAACATGCTGCTCTGCATGGTCTCAGAGGAATAACACACCAGAACCTGAGTGCTGCTGCTATAGAACATAACCTATTTGGGTCATGACATAATTGTGCAAAAGCTACTTTGTGTCCTTTCACTGTGTCAGCAGCACTCATCCAATCATCAAACACTGTGTGGGCAAGATGAAGTGATTTATTATATATCAATAGACAAATAACACACTAAAAACATACTTGTATGTTCTATCTGATAAAACAATCCAACTTCAAAGATAACTGTTAAATATTAGCCCTTTGCCTCCCTTTAGAGTTAACCCTACATCTGCATTGCAGCCTCCTAACTTGCTCATCTCTTTCTCCTGCTCATGCTGTCTCCATCATACTTACAGTGCTATGAAAAAGTATTTGCCCCCTTTCTAATTTTCTCTACTTTTGCATATTTGTGATACTGAATGTTATCAGATCTTCAACCAAAACCTAATATTAGATAAAGGGAACATAAGTGAACAAATAACACAACAATTACATATTTATTTCATAATCAAAGTTACGCAACACCCAATTCCCCTGTGTGAAAAAGTAATTGCCCCCTTACACTCAATAACTGGTTGTGCCACCTTTAGCTGCAATGACTCCAACCAAATGCTTCCTGTAGTTGTTGCTCAGTCTCTCACGTCGCTGTGGAGGAATTTTGGCCCACTCTTCCATGCAGAACTGCTTTAACTCAGTGACGTGTGGGTTTTCAAGCATGAACTGCTCGTTTCAAGTCCTGCCACAACATCTCAATTGGGATTAGGTCTGGACTTTGACTAGGCCATTCCAAAACTTCCAATTTGTTGCTTTTTAGCAATTTTCATGTAGACTTGATTGTGTGTTTTGGATCATTGTCTTGCTGCATGACCCAGCTGCGCTTCAGCTTCAGCTCACAGACGGATGGTCTGACATTCTCCTGTAGAATTCTCTGATACAGAGCAGAATTCATTGCTCCTTCTATTAAGGCAAGTCGTCCAGGTCCTGAGGCAGCAAAGCATCCCCAAACCATCACACCACCACCACCATGCTTGACCTTTGGTATGATGTTCTTACTGTGGAATGCAGTGTTTGGTTTTCGCCAGGCATTACTGGAACCATGTCGTCCAAAAAGTTATACTTTTGAATCATCTGTCCATAGAACATTCTTCCAAGAGTCTTGATGATCATCCAGGAGCTTTTTGGCAAACTTGAGTCAACTTTTTGGATGAGATGGATCCCATTATGCCTGGCGAAAACCAAACACTACATTCCACAGTAAGAACATCATACCAAAGGTCAAGCATGGTGGTGGTGGTGTGATGGTTTGGGGATGTTTTGCTGCCTCAGGACCTGTGCGACTTGCCTTAATAGAAGGAACCATGAATTCTGCTCTGTATCAGAGAATTCTACAGGAGAATGTCAGACCATCCGTCTGTGAGCTGAAGCTGAAGCGCAGCTGGGTCATGCAGCAAGACAATGATCCAAAACACACAATCAAGTCTACATGAAAATTGCTAAAAAGCAACAAATTGGAAGTTTTGGAATGGCCTAGTCAAAGTCCAGACCTAATCCCAATTGAGATGTTGTGGCAGGACTTGAAACGAGCAGTTCATGCTTGAAAACCCACACGTCACTGAGTTAAAGCAGATCTGCATGGAAGAGTGGGCCAAAATTCCTCCACAGCGACGTGAGAGACTGAACAACAACTACAGGAAGCATTTGGTTGGAGTCATTGCAGCTAAAGGTGGCACAACCAGTTATTGAGTGTAAGGGGGCAATTACTTTTTCACACAGGGGAATTGGGTGTTGCGTAACTTTGTTTATGAAATAAATATGTAATTGTTGTGTTATTTGTTCACTTATGGTCCCTTTATCTAATATTAGGTTTTGGTTGAAGATCTGATAACATTCAGTATCACAAATATGCAAAAGTAGAGAAAATTAGAAAGGGGGCAAATACTTTTTCATTGCACTGTATATACCTGGCTGTCACTTCTTTCTCATTGCCTGCATTTCATTGTCTTTTCATGAGTGCAGAATGTTTGGGCTAACAAGGTCAGCCTTGCTGCCTCCCATGTTAACTCATCCCTATATTTAATGAGTGTGTCTCAGACTTAGTGCTCCCCAAAAAATCCTATGAAAAATTTAGCAGGCTTCTCCCAGTCCTGGGATGACAATGTGCAGAAGAAAGCAAGGTGGAGGGGAGGGAAACGTGAGCTACAGCTGAATGTTTCATGAGTGGCACACAGAGGATAAGTCAGACATGACAAAGGGGGGCTGGTGCGAAAGAATGCCGTGAGGGAAGAAGGCACAGACTGACGAGAAGTCGAGATAGCGAAGAGGTCAGAGAGAAAATAGAGAGAGAGCGAGAGAGAGAGCAGAGAGAGAGAGGCAGAATAGGAGGAAAGAGAGGCAGAGCAGAGGAAGAAGAAGCAACGAGAAGAGAGAAACGAGAGAGAGAAGAGAGAGAGAGAGAGCAGAGAGAGAGAGGAAGAGAGGGAGAGAGAGAGAGAGAGAGAGAGAGAGCGAGCGAGAGAGCGAGCGAGAGCTCTCTCTCTCACTTCACTCTCTCTACTCGCTCTCTCTCTCTCTCCACTCCCCCCCGCTCTCTCTCTCTATAGCTTGTCACTGACTCCATAATGATCTTTCCCCCCCCCCCCCACCACCCCACCAGTCTGCCCTTAGCGTTATCATTCTGTACCTGCGCAGCAGGCAGAAGTTTGGGGTGGTTCTTGCTCTCCAGGTGCGCTCGATGAGGTCAACACGAGGAGGTGTTTGAGCACGTCAAAGGTGGCGTACTCCAGACGGCCCGGCAGCGCAGTCATGATAGAGCAAGAGGCCACGTACCGCGGTCACGACAATTGAGAAGGAGCTGGCTGGAGCTACCAAAGTACGGATAAAGGTCGCAGGAACAACCAGTATTCACCAGCTGGGCAAACTGCTTCAGGGCCTTCTCCATACCATGCTGCCCACTTCCAGACACCTACACACACAGAGACACACACAGAACCCTCAGTTAGAGAGTAGAGGGATCTTGCGTCGGGCTTTTAATCCGTTTTGTCTCACAATTGTAAAATGGTTTGTCTATGTATGGAAAATTGGTTGTGTTGGTTAGAAATTCTGATTCTACAAATCATTTACAGTTACAGTAGATGACAAGGGGACAGGTGTGGCCAGGTTTGTCATGGTGGTAATGGTTGGTTACCTCCAGCTCCCTGAGTACAGGATGGTCATCGATGCCAGGGAAGAGGACCCTCATGGTATAGGTACGGTAGTCCAGATGGGGGATCCCAGCCCTGTCCAGGTCACTGGTCAGCTCATTGATGTCAGTCTGCAGCTCAGCGAACGCTGGGTACAATTACAGAGAAAGAGAATGATTGGAGGAATTTAGTCCATATTCAAGAGTTTTGTGAGTTATCAGCATTATATTTCTCTCAGTTAAGATTGTCTGATAATGTGCTGGTCAGTCTCACCTTCCTTGCACTCCAGAGCCACCCGGGACTCCAGGTTGTCCATCTGCATCTGCAGGCGTTTGAGAGTGAGGTCATTCTCTTGTGACTTGCGTCTGTAGGCCAATAGGACGATGAAGACGATGATGAGCAGCAGGCCACCTCCAGCCGTGATGCTGAATACGGCAGGCAGGGTGAGCAGGCTGTCTGAGCGGATGTGGACTGCACCAGGAGAGATGTGGAGACCACCCACCTGGACCTATACATAGGCAATAAACCATAAACACACGTGTACAAAGGCCATAAATCAAATAGACTGTAACAGATAGGGGAACCATACTGAACAATAGTTTCCTTTTATACATTGTTTGACCTTGGCCAAACTGCATTTGACTTAATAGTTTATCTAGACCTGGACTTAGACAGACAGACAGAATGACAGACTGACCAGGACTTTGTGCTGGCCTGTGAGGTTTGGCGGCTCACAGAGGAGCTGTGTGTCAGAGACGGTGAGGGAGCAGGGTGTGTCCCCGATCAGCACGGTGTAGTTCAGCCTGGCCCCTCCAGATGCCGAGGGCACCAGGTTACGCCCCTGCAACACAGAGAGGGAAACCCCACATCCGTCAGGTCAGTAGATAGAACTCATCATCTAATGACAATAGTGCTACGGTTATGGGCTGCCATAGGCTTGGCTGGGCTGTCCCACCTTGAGTATGATGGGGGAGCCAGGTTTCTGCTCCAGCACCCCAGACAAGCTGAGGGGCTCCAGGTAAGGGTTGGGGTAGTAGATGAAGCTTGTGCTGTTGTAGGTGAGCAGGGCTTGCACGTTGTTGAAGACAAAACCAAACTCCTCCACGTGTTTCACTGACTCCTGCTCCAGTGTGTCCTCTGCCTTCAGGGACGGAGCGAAGCAGATTATCGTGGTGGTGTTAAGCACCTTACACACCTGGGAAGAGATCCAGGGACAGACAAGCAAAGAGAAATACTTGTCAAGAATTTTGAAATTACAATTATAAAATGGCCACCATTTCTCAGTACTATACAAGATACTGGACAGGGGACAGAGATATCCTACTATGTTATCAGTGGACAGACTCACGTTGACAGACTCGTGGCCGGCGTACTTCACCCTGACCCTCGGCTCCTGCACCACATCCAGGTTGGTCCCGGTCACCATCAGGGTAGTGTGTCCACTATGAAACACAACACATACACCAATATACACATCCATATCGGCCTCTGAATAGGTGAGCCAAGATAAACTCTACTTCCTGTCGTTATTAACAGCACCTGATTTGCATTGAATTGTGCTTTTCAGCATAAATGCATCTTTGGTACCAGGAAAACATCTAATTGTTCTGGCCAGATAGAGCCAGATGGAACGGTTCTGCCAGCTGGCTTCCTATTTATTAATCTATCAGGTATCCAAGGCTAGCATTTCATGAATGCTACATGATTGTGCCACATGTACGTAGATGTCATTAACATAAACAAACTAGCCGCGATATCATGCATCATGTAGAGCTCCGAAATTGTTTGAGAGTGTGGGAATAGAGACCCACCTGAAGAGAAGAGAGAAACTAAATCCAATCATTCCCACACTTCAAAGGATACCTAAGCCTAGGTGGGCACATGGTGTGACTGCACACAGATGATGAGACGATGGTACTTTGATTATAAGTCTGTGAAATCCCCTGTCAGTTGACAGAGTAGAAAGCCAGTAGCCACGACACTGCACCACTTCTCCCTGGCTGGCTGTCTCTGTGTCCTCAAGCCACATACAGCCCTGCACCAACCATCATGCATAATATGTGACTGGAAGGTCACCTTATCCCTCAGTAATATACAGCTGAACCAAATGGGGGGGAGGAACATAAATAGGAAGCCATGCTATAAAATATCAGATTGCACACACAATGTCTTAGCTGGGAGGTTTGTTGTACCTAGTGATGCTCCACTCTGGCTCGATGCGCTGGACTGTGGGATCCTCGATGTACTCAAAGCCCAGGGTTCCTGGCACCTTGGCCAGATCCACACTGAGGCTGACCTGCACAAGGGCGGCGCCCGTCACAGAGGGTGCCGAGAAACACACGATCTCCAACATGCTCCGCCTGGGAAAACCAACAAGGAATACCAACAGGGTTCAATTCTGTCTGTAACTGCTCTTTACCGTGGTGAGAATCTTAACTCTACTACAGTGAGTTACGCACATTACCATGCAGGGCAGGTGAGCATTCGTTAGAGACACGTTAGAGATTAAACGTGGTAATTAGAGGATTTCTAATGGTGCCTTTTCTTCACCCTCCTGAGTCTCACAATGAGGGCCTTTTTGATCTTTAAATAGATCTCTAAAAATAAGAGTAGAAAACAATGCACTGTCCTGGCTCTCAGCCTTTCCACAGGCACATTAATCAAGTCCCCACTTTTATATAAGGGTTCTCTGTTGGTCTGTTCCTGTTAACTCACCTGTACAGCTCACAAGTCTGGTTTCCAAAGGTAACGTTCACACTGCTCCCAGCACCCAGGTTCTCCCCCACGATGGTGACTTTAGTGCCCCCGGACTCAGGCCCTCGGCCAGGGGTAAGTCCCACCATGGTAGGGGTCTGTGAAAAGAGCATTTTCTCAATACTCCACATGGCTGGCTACTTTGTGGACTTTTTGTTGATGACTCATAAATTATGATAGTGTGTGAGAACAAACTGTTCCAGAGCAATAATACTGTAGTAGAGAGATGTGTTCTATGTATGGTTCAAGATGCAGATCAAACCTCAAAGGAGTAGAGCTGGGAGGACTGAGTTTTTAGTTCTGGTCTACATTCACCAACACACAGATGGACTGGACCAGGTGCACTTCCCTGAGGCGTAGAGGCCATTTTACACACAATCCTGTCAGGACACACACACACACAGAGAGAGAGAGGAGAGAGAGAAGAGAGGAGAGAGAGAAGAGAGAGAGAGAGGAAGAGAGAAGAGAGATACGACAGAGATGAGAGAGACTGAGAGAGATGAGGAGAGAGAGAGGAGAGAACATGAGAGGACGAGCAGAGTACGATGAGAGAGAGAGACGATACAAGAGAGAGGAAGAGAGGAGATGAGAGACGAGAGTAGAGGAGAGAGAACCGATGAGAACGAGACGAGGAGAGAGAGCGAGAGAGCAGCGAGAGAGAGGAGAGCGAGAGAGTGATGAAACGAGAGATGAATGACGAGAGACCAGAGGAGACCGAGATATATCACAGAGAGGGAGAGACGACAGAGAGTGGAAGAGAGGGTTCCTGGACGAGAGACGGGACGAGAGAGAGAGAGACGAGAAGAAGAGAGAGATAGGAGAGAGAGAGAGGAAGAGAAGAGGAAGAGAGGAGAGGAGATGAACGGAGAGAGAGAGAGAGAGAGAGAGGAGAGAGAGAGAGAGAGAGAGAGGAGAGATGAGAGAGAGGAGAGGAGAGAGAGAGAGAGAGAGAGAGAGAGAGAAGAGAGAGATTACTGTGCTGTACACGGTTTTCAATTGAAGAAAAAGTGCTGTTTTCTGTTGGTCTCCATACAATGTGATTGAAGCAGACTTTCATAGTAGTGGTAGGTCAATATGGAGGGCCATCTTTCTTCCTAATGAAAAACCAATAGCACCAATATAACAGCAATAATAAACTACACCACATCCACCACCCACCATTACCTCCATCACCATGGCAACAGTGTGTTCTCGATAAATCAGTTAGCCTGTCAGGTCAATAAGATAATGTAGTATGCAATGAATAAGTCATTATAAAAACTGACCTACAATAACATTTATGTTTGTAATGCCATGTTTTAAAGCACTGTGTGGGGCCTAAATGAATAGTCACAGAAAAGTATTGCTAAGTATTAGAGATAAACCTTTCACCCTGACGACAGGACCCAATGAATCCTCTTCTCTCCACCCTCTGTTGTCATGAGAGTTTTCAGTTTTTCTGCTGGCATGTTCCTTTTTTATACAAGGATATAAATAAGGTCCCTTCATCCATGGCTCAATCGAATTATATGGCTGTGAGAGAAACACATGGCTAACAGATTGTCTCTGCAGTCAGTGACATGCAGCGCATTTCAATTACAGCAGTGCCGTCAGCCTCACGACGGCACACAAAACAACTCTGCTCTCTACTCCTCAGCACACTAAAGAAAGCCTGCTGCAACTTGTTTATCTTTATGTTCATCATTAGTTATAGTGTGTGTGTGTGTGTGTGTGTGTGTGTGTGTGTGTGTGTGTGTGTGTGTGTGTGTGTGTGTGTGTGTGTGTGTGTGTGTGTGGGAGGTGTTTAACTATACTTGTGGGGACCAGAAGTCTCCACAAGAATAGTAAACAAACAAATATTTGACCAACTGGGGACATTTTGTTAGTCCCCACAAGGTCTAATGCAATTTCTAGGGGGGTTAGGGTTAAGGTTAGAATTAGTGGTAGGGTTAGAATTAGGTTTAGGGTTAGAAGCTAGGGTTAGTTTTAGGGTTAGGGTTAGGAGCTAGGGTTAGGTTTAGGGTGGGGGTTTTGGAGTTAAGGTTAGGGTGGGGGTCTGGGTGCTTCTGTGCATTTTGGTTCTTACTGTTCTGCAGTGATGTAGCCCTCTTCCTGTGGGGTACACTGTACCCCTGCCACCTCCACGTTGCCCACCAGCTCAGAGAAGGACAGGCCCAGGTTCAGGCCCTGGATGGTGACCAGTGTTCCCCCCTCTGGAGGCCCTGCCACTGGGCTCACCTACAGGAAGGAGAGGTGGACATGGAGAAGGGACAGATTTATGGTGGCAGCACACAAGTATTGTAATATTTTCAATACATGACAACAGATTAATGCATTGCATCACTATGCCCAAAGACAACTATGCAGAAGCTCTATCTAAAATGGCTTGACCACACAAAGAGCCTTCAGGCCTGTTGAGCAGTGCTCTTCCAGTTCCCAGCAGCAGGCAGTAGCAGCCCAGTTCTTTATCAATTCACTCCCAGACTGCCACTGAAACACTAATCATGTGACAGGGACTTCAAAGGCTCATGGCTCTTTGAAGTTGGAGCAGTAATTGTCTGTGGCTGTCTGACCTACTGTGTGTCTCTCATTCAAAAAAATTAACAGTGTGTTGGGGCCAAAAACACTCATTGCCATGCACAAAATTGGATGCAAAGGGCATAGCTTAAGGTTGCATTAATTTGGCACAAGCTGTATGTCTGATATAGTCTTATTTATACGACGGGTGGGTCTAGTCCTCGATGCTGATTGGTTAAAACCGCATTCCAGCCAGTGTCTATTCCACAAGTTACCACCGGTCTTGCTCATGTCTAAGGACTGATCTCAATGGTTTTTACTGGTTATTTCTGAGAAGGCCTCTTGTCACTAAGGCCAAATGATGGATAATGGTGACGCTTAAAGTAGGGGTTAGTTGTAACAGATAAGGGTCTGACTGACTAACCTCAGTTATGCGTGGGTTGGTACACTTAACGTTCCTGGTGGACAGGTCGAGCCAGCGGCTGGCGTAGGGGCTGATGGGTGGGCAGTGCTGCCTCATGGTGCAACGGCCTTCTCCACTGCACCAGCCACACTGGAACTTCCTTTCAGCCCGCAGACACATGCCACAGCTGTCCCGCTGGGCACCACACTTATACAGGTGCACTGTGGAATACGGGAGGACTGCAGTTGAATTACATTCAATGCTTGTACACTGAGTGTACAGAACATCAGGAACACCTTCCTAATATTGAGTTGCACCTCCTTTTGCCCTCAAAACGGCCTCAATTCGTCGGGGCATGGACTCTACAAGGTGTCTATAGCATTCCACAGGGACGCTGGCCCATGTTGACTCCAATGGTTTCCACAGTTGTGTCAAGTTGGATGGATGTCCTTTGGGTGGTGGACCATCCTTGATATACACAGGAAACTGTTGAACGTGAAAAACCCAGCAGCGTTGCAGTTCTTGACACACTCAAACCAGTGCACCTGGCACCTACTACCATACCCTGTTCAAAGGCATTTAAATATTTTCTCTTGCCCATTCACCCTCTGAATGGCACACATACACAATCCATGTCTCAATTGTCTCAAGGCTAAACAAATCTTATTTAACCTGTCTCCTCCCCTTCATCTACACTGATTGATGTGGATTTAACAAATGACATCAACATGGGATCATAGCTTTCACCTGGATTCACCTGGTCAGTCTATGTCATGGAAAGAGCAGATGTTCCTAGTGTTTCGTACACTCAGTGTATATTTGACAGTATTTAGATATTGAATGGCACTATTCTACAACCAAATACACACTCAAGCAGGATAATGGAGAGCTCTAACAGTCAGTGAGAAACCAAAATGGTAAACACAAAAGTTCACCCTCACAGCCCAGATGATTGGCTAGGACTAATAACACAGTAGAGAGTGCCATATTAACGTTCTCCCAAGGCCGAGTGAAAGCCTTGGCGTGGGCTAAACCCCATCCATCCCACAGAGTGAGAGCTTTCCACTCCTCAGCAATGGCAGACAGTGATGGATGGCAGAGGCACCTTTAATCTTATCTGGATTGTCGATTATGAAATTGCCATTCCAAATGATGGAGAGGTCCACTGCCAGGTCACTGATCTTCACACCCTCATAGATGTACTGCCGGAGAGAGAGAGGTAGGGAGAGAGCGAGAGAGAAAGAGGGGTGGGAGAGGGAGAGAGAGAGGGATGTGAGAGGGAGAGAGAGAGAGATGAGGCTTTTAACCACCTGTCATTTCTATCATTGCTGTCTGCTCCTCTCTGCTGTGCATGGCCATATTGGGACAGGACTCTGCGGGGACTGGAGAGGCTGTTCATCTAGAGCTGAGGAAAATGGGCTTTCACTGGACATGAGATAAGAGAGTGAGGAATAGATGCATTAAAAATTGATTGTTTGTCATGTAGTCTATGCAGCACTGTCTGCCACTCATCCTCACTGTCAACTATCTGAGATGTTAACCTATTATGTCCCTATTACACGGACCTAGATGTATGTTTGAATGACACTGACATGTTCGGTTTCAGACAGACATTAAATGTTTTATTTATTCCACTGCAGACAACCTACTTCTTATTTGATCAAGACACGGCATGACTGAACTCATCTCAGTGGGATGAGATCAGATGCAGATTGCTCTCAGAGACTAGCTCAGACGTAATTCACTAGACTACAGATAATCGACCTGGATAATACACAGCCAGGCTGAGGCTGGTCCCAGGGGGAGTGTTAGAGAGGGTCACGCAGTCACAGTACGCACCGAGCTGTTCTGGCACTGCACGCTGGAGCTGTTGAAGCGCAGGGCAGTGACACGGTGGTTGGTTCCCTGGACGTGGAGCACACACTCGTACCCCCGCTGGCCAGACTGGGGCTGTGGAAGGTTCCGGGCCCTCAGGGTGATGGGTCTCACCTCCCCTGCTGGGATCAGGATCTCCCCAGAGTGCAGCAGCTGAGGGCAGTCCTAGAGAACATATTGCAAGAGTCAAAGGTCAGACGACCTCAGCAGGGGTCTATCGAGGTCTATTAAATTATAAAGATAGATTGCCTAAAGACTAACATGTTATGTAAATATGGGTTAATGAAACATGGGTTAATGTGCATTATACCGGAAAATACTGTTAATCTGGTGTATGTTTATCAGTAGCCATGTAGCTACCTCTGAGGCGTTGACCCGGCCCTCCTGAAAGGAGCAACTGGAGGGGTTGTGGGTACACAGGTTGCGATATTTACACCAGTGGCAGCGGAAGGTACTGTTCACACAGGACAGACACCTGCAGTGCAAGGAGAGGGACAAATGGACATGTTACACACATCATATGACCAACCAGCCAACAGACATCCCAATGCTTCTAGATACTCTGTGGCTAAACACATGCTCTTAGGGAACAGAAGTTCCTAACGATCCATCCAATATACAGTACACTGTATATTATACAGTTCATGGAGTTCACAGAGTTAGGCTGTTTCCTCAACATTGTACCACTAACACATACTGTTAATACAACAGTGTTGCAGAGAGAGCAGTATTAAGCACCAACACACAGTAAGTCAGTATGTTCTGTAACAGCTCTGTATGCATAGAACTGGCCTGCCAGGCCCTTTCAGACACAGGATAATTAATTATGGAGGCGGATGTGATGCTGATGTGATGCTGCTGTGCTGTGTGAGGCAGAGGGGGGAGGGGGAGGCTGTTTAGACTGAAATATGAATCACACTGTAGACCAGAGACAGTCGCTAGCTGCTAATGGACACCTCATTTTGATCAAACAGATGTGATGGGGCTTTGGACTGTATTTCTGTTAAAGTGGACCTGAAGGTAGCGGTCAGGGAGCTATGTTTAGATGTATGTACTCGTACTACTCAGTATGTACATTGTTCCTCAGGGAACCAGTCTAGAAACACCAGTCTAGAAACACGCTAACAATGCGTGGCTAACTGCCTTAGGTTCACCTATATCAAAATGGATGGGTCATTTGAACTTATGGGTTACCTGTCTGCCTGATCTTAAGTGGGGTTGCATGCATTAATGTCCTAAATGAGGTTGTGCAATACTATCTTTTGAATGGATCAGATAATGTGTGGGCCGGTAGATGAACTCACGTGTGATGCATGCTGCAGTTATAGAACTTGACCTCTGTACTGCCCAGCATTTGACCTGTCTCCTTAGAGTTCAGACGCAGCGCCACACCCAACCAGTCTGATGGAGAAAATGGGGGGGGGGGGGGGGGGGGGGGGGGGGGTAGTTGGCTTTATTCAGACTGCTGGTCCTCTGTAAAAGAGTCACATCTGTATCACTGAGGAACACAGAGCAATACGTCCTATGTTGGAGCTATATATTTTGTCACCTTGTCCTTCAGGTATGTGTGGGACCTCTTTGCCAGACGGGGACAGGCACGTGACTCTGTTGCCGTTGACATGGCCCTCCACCTCGGCCTGCTCTCCAAATAAACAGGTGATCCCAGTCGAGAGGTCAGGCACATTGCTGACTTCCAGCAGGAGCTATAGGAGAGGAGCAGAGAGAGATAGCTGGGTTGGAACAGTCTGGTCTATCATGAAACACTGAGGACTTCTTCCCACCATCAAGACTCAGAACATGTAAGAATCAGTTTGATCAGAAGTAAAGATTGTACTGTTAATAGTTGACTCACAGGCACACTGTGTGCTGACACGGCAATGCTGTCTGGGTGAGCGATAACTTTCACACAAAGTTCGATATCAGTTGCGAACCGGAAGGGCTCCTCTGCTCTCTGACACCGGTCTCTTCTGGCACATCTGTGGATGGGAACCAGGACATTATTCGTTCTTACTGTTTACTGTACATGTGAGATAAACATTTTCCTTTAAGGAACATCTAAACAACATCATGCAAAACACATCATACTGTGACACTTTCTGTATTTTGAAAGTTCTATATCTTGAAAACTTGATTGCTGACATACAAAACATTTTGGGACTGTATCAACAGTGGACTAATGAAACAAATACCAAGATAGTTTTTGAGTGGTATTTTCCTTTAAGGAAAGTGAGCCCCTATCAGTTTGGTTGGATTGCTCTGCTGAAGTAAATCCAGTTGTACGATGGGATAAATTGATTTTAAGCAGTGAGTGTTTTGTGTTTGGGTTATTTAACATTTTACACTGACATTTTAGTCATTTTGCAGACACTCTAATCCAGAGAGACTTACAATTAGTGCATTAATCTAATTAGCTAGGTGAGATAAGCACATATCACAGTTGTAGTAAGTACATTTTCCCTCAATAAAGTACAGATAACTGTCGAAATAATGGAATCACTTGAGTAAATGAAGGATACAAAGTACATTGAATACAGGTGCATCCACACAGGTGTGGTTCCTGCGTTAATTAAGCAATTAACATTCCATCATGCTTAGGGTCATATATAAAAATGCTGACGACAATGCCCCCATCCACAGGGCATGAGTGGTCACTGAATTATTTGATGTGCATGAAAACTATATAAACCATATGCCATGGCCGTCTCAGTCACCAGATCTCAACCCAAATGAACACTTATGGGAGATTCTGGAGCAGTGCCTGAGACAGTGTTTTCCACCACCATCAACAAAACGCATTCCTCCAATAGAGTTCCAGAGACTTGTAGAATCTATGCCAAGGTGCATTGAAGATTGTGATGTACATGACCATCTGGGTAGGGGCTGAGTGTATAGGGTTGGGAGGAGAGAGGGAGAGAAAAGGAAACTAAGTAGTGATCAAATAAAATAAAATCAAATAAAATTTTATTGGTCACATGCGCCGAATACAACAGGTGCAAACATTACAGTGAAATGCTTACTTACAGCCCTTAAACAACAACAAAAAAGTGTTGAGAAAAAAAGAGCAGAAGTAAAATAAAATAACAGTAGGGAGGCTATATATACAGGGGGGTACCGGTGCAGAGTCAATGTGCGGGGGCATAGTTGAGATAATTGAAGTAATATGTACATGTGGGTAGAGTTAAAGTGACTATGCATAAATAATTAACATAGTAGCAGCAGCGTAAAAAGGATGGGGTGGGGGGGCAGTGCAAATAGTCCGGGTAGCCATGATTAGCTGTTCAGGAGTCTTATGGCTTGGGGGTAAAAGCTGTTGAGAAGTCTTTTGGACCTAGACTTGGCACTCCGGTACCGCTTGCCGTGCGGTAGCAGGGAGAACAGTCTATGACTAGGGTGGCTGGAGTCTTTGACAATTTTGACAACTGAGATGTGGAGGGGGGTTGCAGTAAGATTGGTAGGTGAACAGAATTTAGTAAAGATGAGGTCAAGCACATTGCTTGCCTTGTGAGTGGGAGGGGACTGAGAAAGGTTGAGCTCAAAAGAGGAAAGGAGTGGGAAAGAAAGAGGTGGAAAGAAATTCATCAAAGTCAGGCATCTGGGAGGTTGAAGTCGCCCAGTACGATGAGTGGTGAGCCAACGTCGTAAACATTAGCTTATCAAGATGTCAACCTCATTGAGGAACTCTCCAAGGGCACCTGGTGGGCGATATATGACAACAATGTTAAGCTTTAGTGGACAAGTGACAGTGACAGCATGGAATTCAAATGAGGAGATGAACCAGTGAGAGAAAATAGAAAATCTCCACTTAGGAGAAATGAGTAGCCCTGTGCCACCACCGTGAAGACCTGTCTCTTCAAATGAGATATTGTGGTAGCTTGGGACGTGCAGATTTAGACATTCAGAACGCACACAAACATACGTAAACATTGCACTTAAACGTCCAATGCAGCCGTTTTTATCTCATTATAAAATAATTTCTGGGTAACAATTAAGTACCTTACTGTGATTGTTTTCAATTAAAACAGTCCAAAAGAAACAAAAATAGCTTCTTAGCAAAGAGCAATTTATCAAGCAAGAATTTTGCTAGGACTGTCTGGGAGTGATCTGAGTGGGGAGGGGGAATCTGAAAACTAGCTCTTATTGGCAGAGAGGTTTAGAACTATTTTTCTTATTGTTCTATTTACTAATTTACAGGCAGGCCAAAACTCCATCCCACTAAAAGAGGCTGAGATTTCACACGGTCCTTTCAAACAGCTCTAACACTAAAATAACATTATAATCATTTTCACATTTTCACAATTTCACAGTATTATTCTAATCTCATAGTGTGGAAATATACACTGAGTATACAAAACATTAAGAAAACCTGCTCTTTCCATGACATAGACTGATCAGGTGAATCCAGGTGAAAGCTATGATCCCTTATTGATGTCAGTTGTTAAATCCACTTCAATCAGTGTAGATGAAGGGGAGGAGACAGGTAAAATAAGGATTTTTAAGTCTTGAACCAATTGAGATATGGATTGTGTGTGTGCCATTCTGAGGGTGAATGGGCAAGACAAAATAGTTAAGTGCCTTTGAACGGGGCATGGTAGTAGGTGCCAGGCGCACCGGTTTATGTCAAGATCTGCAACGCTGCTGGGTTTTTCACGCTCAACAGTTTCCTGTGTGTATCAAGAATGGTCCACCACCCAAAGGACACCCAGCCAACTTGACACAACTGTGGGAAGCATTGGAGTCAACATGGGAAAATCACGTTTTGAATGCACTGGGCCTTTAAGAGAATGAGAGGCTCTCAAGGTTGAATCTCTCAGCGATCACACTTCCTCTTGATGAGGAGCTAACAATAGAGCTTGTCTCTGTTTTACATGTGTAATGCCCACTGTGGGATGAGACGGTGCTTAATGGACTCTCAGATGTGGTCGAGGGTGACATCTCACGAGAGCCTTCAAAGCGCACAGAGACCTCAACAGTAAATACAAGACAATGAAGGCAGAATGGAAACCCAATGATGGTTGTTGTTCCTGCCGGCTCCTTGATACAGCCGGTATCCATAGGGAGAATAGACACTAACCTCTTAGCTTCTCATCAATTGAAGTGCCCCTGGACACCCATTTCATCCCAGGCGCCCTTTCATTCCCTTTTATTTCATCTCCCCCTCCATGTTATGCCTGATAGAGCTGTTTGTTCTCCTGTCCTAGCCTCTTAGAGATTAACATACCATATATACACACACACTCCCCTATATGGCACGTGGTGCTTTACCTTCACATGCTTTGGGTGAGCATATACAGTGACTGTATGTTGCATTTTCTAATTGTTTTACTGTAGAGAGACAAGGTGAGTATTTCCACTTAGGATACTATTCAGTGAACAGTAGCTAGATAGTGAATAGTAGCTCATGGAAGTGGCATGCATACAAGTAGTCTCCTGAGTGGCGCAGTGGTCTAAGGCACTGCATTGCAGTGCTAACTGTGCCACTAGAGATCCTGGTTTGAATCCAGGCTCTGTCGCAGCCGGCCGCGACCGGGAGACTCATGGGTGGCGCACAATTGGCCCAGCGTCATCCAGGGTAGGGGAGGGAATGGCCGGCAGGGATGTAGCTCAGTTGATAGAGCATGGCGTTTGCAACGCCAGGGTTGTGGGTTCGATTCCCACGGGGGGCCAGTATAAAAAAATATGTATTCACTAACTGTAAGTCGCTCTGGATAAGTGCGTCTGCTAAATTACTAATAATGTAAAGTATAATCGTGGGAATTGGAGCAGAAAATGCACTTATGAAAACAGAAGAGGAATAAAGTAATTAGGATAAATATGTTCCGTGTTTTGCTAGTCAAGTGGGGTGATAACATAGAGAGGGCTCTCCAAGAGCTGCAATTTAGATAATGATGATCGTAGAGATTGCTGAAATGCAAATGACATATAATAATGCATAAATCCTTTCTGAGGTCTGTTTCAGTGCATTTTCAGAAACATTGCCTGGGTTTTAATCTTCTGGATCTCTTCTGCTCTGTCCTGTTCTATTACGTAAGATAACCTGGCGGTCCGATAATTAAGATGTCGAAGATGAGCCTCTTTCACAGTTCTAAATGTTCTAGAGACTGTAGCAGTCCATTTGGTTACCCTCTGCACTACTCTCTGTCTGTAATCCCTCTGTACTCTGTCCCCATTATCTCAGTCATTCTGTCCCTCCATATCAGCAGTGACAGACAGGCTGTCTGTATCTGTGTGCTCAGTAGCATCATTTTGTATTTGAGGGCTTGTATGACCTCTTACTCCTTTTTTCTTGGTAAATTATGTGATTGGTGTTTTAAAACATGACCATTGTGCCTTTTGAGAATAGTGTAGTAGTGGACCTACATGTTGAGCAGGACACACCAGCCGCAGTGAGGATCCCCAGAGCTCAGACACTCTCCACAGGTCCCATACTGCTCACATGCCTCCACTGGGATCTGGGTCACCTACAACACAACAGAGGAAGGTTTAGACGCATAACATAGGCCATGGAGCCTACAACATTCACATACACATGAACAGCACATCATTTACAATTAGTGTAAAACATATTGCTCTATATAATTGCTTCATGACTTGTTTAACTGGTTAATTGTGTGTGATACATTATATAATACAGTATGTCATGTATCCAATGAAATAATGTATTCCCTGTTGACTTAGTAAACATGATCTAAGGAAATGGGGAAAAGCCTGGTAGTATGTGAAATCGGATTCATTCCGTTGATTGATTGTGGGGGGTTCAGCACTAGGTTGAAGATGACAAGGTTAAGACAATGTAATAATTACACGCGGCAGCGTTCGGAAATAAACAAATTAATTGGACCAGCATCGTTGATAAGTACTAGCACCGTTGCTAACTAGCAACGCTGGTCTAAATTTTGCAAAGAGTTATTGGATATTAGAATCCTGTTGTCTTAACCTTTGTCATCTTCAACCTAGGTTCAACAGAGGAAGTAGCTCTGGCAAACAGGCTGAGAAACAAGTAAAGCCACAGAAAAGATAAGCCTGATATCCATGGGTGTGCTCACAGCTTGGATCAGCCTACACACACAGATACACATACACACACCGCCACTTATCTGTGTGGATGCCTGGCAAAGCATACGCTCCCATTAGTCGCTGTGACAGACGCTGCTGTTGAGTGGGCAGCGCCAGCCCATGCATATACAAACAGGTTGAAGCTTTGCTATTTTATACTTTGTTATTATTCTCCCCCTTGACGGACCATGCAAGTAATTTCCTGAGGTAAATAATCACAAATGAAGAGTGGATTATGGATGAGAGCGTCTCCGTTGCTCTTGATAGTGTAAATGGCTTCTCTCTCAGGTCTGTGTTGGCTAAACAGATTATCTGCCGCTCTCCGCAAAAGCACTTTTTCTTTTTTTAAGAAAAAGCTAAATGATTTTTAGAAGGGATAGGGGGACAGGCTCAACGTCCAAATCTGACACAGAAAGAGTAATCCTCCCTACCAGCCCAACTCAGATTAGCCTCTCCAAAACTAGCTAAGGAGGGGAATGAGCAGACAGACAGATGGGCCTTGCTGTTACCGTGCCAACAGTGTGCCTCTGGTGTTGCTCAGATTTAATGTTCAGCTCACATGATGTGAGTTTATTTGTCCATCGAATTTTACCTGAGCATGCAGGCAAAGCTATGAAATACAATGAGATGACATTGACAGCAGACAACATTTTGTTTGAGGACAACAATTTCCCACACAGCCTTAGAAATCCCTTGAAATGTAACTACAATTAATTATCACACTGAAATATAATTGGCAGTCACTTGATGAAAGCTTCATATTTTTCTCTTTATTAGTTTATTTTATTTCCAGGACAGCACAAACCTACAGTACACACTACATAGAGATGCAAGCAAGAGAAAGTGAGAGGAAGATAATTCTACCATAGATGGTTATAATTATGGTGTGGTATTTTACTTTCAACAGTCATATACTCTAATCCACTCTGCAACTGTCAGCTTTGGCTATTATGCAATCCTCATCATCTTAAATCATGCTCTTGGGGGGTGGGGCCCATTCCGACCTGATTTAAGCGCCCGGAAATGGAACGTAATTCTCTTTTTATGCACTTTTTCTCTACATGTATTCTGACCTTGAACTGAAGCATCAGAACGGATCATGGCAAAAAGTGTTTTAGCTCCGTGGTCTTGGAATTCTTTCCAGACCAGCTTGAAACTCCAGGATCTTGTTTCCTTGGAGGAGTTTAAACGTTTGGTTGACTCACATTCACATTTACATTTGACATTTTAGTAACTTAGCAGACACTCTTATCCAGAGGTGAGGGGGGGGGGGGGGGGGGGGGGGGCGCTGTGGGATTATTTAAGATACTTGTTTCAGATGTTTTCGGAAGATGGACAGGGAGATGTGTGTCGACACCTGGGTGTCAGAAGAGGGGAAGGAGAAAAGTAGTTGAGTGTCATCCGCATAGCAATGATAGGAGAGACCATGTGACGATATGAAGGAGCCGAGTGACTTGGTGTGTAGAGAGAAGAGGAGAGGGCCTGGAACCGAGCCCTGGGGGACACCAGTAGTGAGAGTATGTGGTGCAGACACAGATCCTCTTCATGTCACCTGGTAGGAGAGGCCTGCCAGGTAGGATGCAATCCAAGAGTGTGCAGAGCCTGAGACACCCAGACCTGAGAGAGTGGAGAGGAGGATCTGATGGTTCACGGTGTCGAAGGCAGCAGATAGATCTAGGATGAGAACAGAAGAGAGAGAGTCAGCTTTGGCAGTGCGGAGGGCCTCTGTGACATAGAGAAGAGCAGTCTCAGTTGAGTGACCCGTCTTGAAGCCTGACTGGTTAGGGCCAAGAAGATCATTCTGAGATGAGTGTTGGTTTTTTGAGGAGGGGAGCGTGTCAGGCCATTTTGAAGTCAGAGGGTCAGTGGTCAAGGATGAGTTGAGATGGTCTGGAGAAGGGAGGATGAGATGGGGTCGAGCGGGCAGGTTGTTGGGCGGCAGGACCTCACTAGTCACAGGATTTCCTCTGGAGAGAAGGGGGAGAAAGAGGTCAAGGCGTAGGGTAGTTATGTGGGTCTAGTGGACTCAAAAGGTTGAGTGAATGAGCAGTGGATGTCGTCAACATTCTTTTCAAAGTGGTTGACGCAGAGAGAGAAGAGGGAGGGGGAGGGGTGGAGGATTAAAAAGGGAGGAAAAGGTGGAAAAGAGCTTCATAGGGTTATAGGTAGAATCTTTACATTTTGAGTGATAGAAAGTGGCTTTAGCAGTGGATATAGAGAAAGAGAAGGTAGAGAAGAGGGAGTGAAAGGATGATAGGTCCTCCGGAAGTTTAGTTTTCCTCCATTTTCGCTCAGCTGCCCGCAGCCCTGTTCTGTAAGCTCGTAATGAGTCACTGCGGGGACAGTGCGAGTCATAGGATGCAGAAAGGGAGGAGAGTAGGGTCGAAGAGGCAGAATCAGGAGACAGGAGGGAGAAGGATTTAGCAGAAGGGAGTGAAGATAGGATAGAAGAGGAGAGAGTAGTGGGAGATGGAGAGCGAAGATCATGACCATCTGGGTAGGGGCTGAGTGGCTAGGGTTGGAGGAAAGCGACATAGAAAAGGAAACAAAGTAGTGATCAGAGACCTGGAGGGGGGTTGCAGTGAGATTAGTAGGCAAACAGCCTCCATTAAAGATGAGGTCAAGCGTATTACCTGCCTCTTAAGTGGGAGGGGACTGGGAAAGGGTGAGGTCAAAAGAGGCGAGGGGAAAGAGAGAGTTAGAAAGAAATGAATCTAAGGCAGATGTCGGGAGGTTGAAGTTGCCAAGTACGAAGAGCAGTGAGTCATCATCAGGAAATGAGCTTATCAAGCTCATTGAGGAACTCTATGGACACCTGGTTGGCAATAGATGACAACAATTTTAAGCTTGAGTGGACAAGTGACAGTGACAGCATGGAATTCAAATGAGGAGATGGACAGGTAAGAGAGGGGAAACATTTAAAATCTCCACTTAGGAGAAATTAGTAGCCCTGTGCCACCAACGCGATGACCAGATGCTCTCGGACTATGAAAGAAAACGTAGTCAAATGAAGAGAGAGCAGCTGGAGTAGCAGTGTTCTCTGGGGTGATCAATGTCTCCGTCAGGGCCAAAAAGTCAAGGGACTGAAGGGCTGCATAGGCTGAGATGAACTCGGCGTTCTTGACCGTTCCAAACGTTGCCAGAGACCAGGAATTCCACATGGGTACACTAAATTAGAAGAGTTGCAGCCAAGGGATGGGGAGCGTCTGTAAAGCCTACAGGGAAAGGAGCGAACAGGTATAGAAAACACACACATAGTTGCCATAGCTAAAAAATAGCAAAATGAGATCTGAAAATAACTAGGTAAGATACTAAAGTGAGAGAGTGGTGTGGAACAGAGTATGTGAGCGGAGTTGAGCGGAGTTGAGTGGAGTTGAGCTGAATTTTTCCTCCACTTCCTTTCCAACCACACCACTAAAAAACACTCCTCGCTCAGAGGAAAAAAAACTGCTGCTCCAAATATGCTCCATTCATTAAAATCCCCATTGAACCAACACCCATCTATTTTTGTTACTACCTGGACCCACCTTTGGTTTTGAAGTATTGGAACCAAACACATTTCAATAAACAACATGAAAAAGTGACTGTAAGAAGCATTCATCATTTATTTCAAATAGGCTTGTCACGGTTTCGGCCGAGGCTGCTCCTTCTCCTTGTTTGGGCAGGCTTCGGCGGTCGTCGTCCCCGGAGTACTAGCTACCACCGTTCGATGTTTCATGTTTGTTTGGTTTTGTCTAGTTGTACACCTGTCCCTTGTTAGTGTTTGATTTTGTTTCCTATTTAGTTATCGTGTGTTGGGTCAGGTGTTATGTGTGATTATTGTTGTCAGCTGTTGCCATTGAGGAGTTTCCTCTCTCATATTGTTGTATCTTGAGAGTTCGCACTGCGTGCGCTTTTTTCTTGTTTTCGCACTGTTGTTGCTGTGCGTAATTGTTCGTGCCACCCGGTTGGGTTGGCGACTCATTCCTGTTTGGATTTACTAAAGTCTGTTGACGAACACCCCTGTTCCTGCGCTTGATTCCCTGCACCACATCCACAAGCAGCGTTCTGACAGAATCACACATCACACTATGGAATCAGCAGGAGCAGCCGCGCCAACGGACATTATGGAAGACCGTCTTCGTGGGCAGGAGGACAGGATCAACCAGATCGGTCAAGCCCTGGATCAGGTGATGAACACTCTCCACCGATGGGAGACCAGCGGGGTACCCACGCCCCCACCTACCGGACCATCCCCATCGGTCAGTCCTCCTGTCCCCCTTCCGGAACCCAGCGGGATTCGGCTCTCCCTCCCGAGGGCGTACGACGGCTCCGCTGCCGGGTGTCAAGGGTTCTTGCTGCAAGTGGAGCTCTACCTCGCCACCGTACACCCGGCTCCCTCGGGACACGAGAGCGTCTCCGCCCTCATCTCCTGTCTCACCGGCAAGGCGTTGGAGTGGGCCAACGCCGAATGGAGTAGAATAGACGCCGCTACTGTTACCTATGCGGAGTTCTCCCGCCGCTTCCATGCCGTGTTTGACCATCCACCGGAGGGGAAGGCGGCGGGGGAGCGTCTGTTCTACCTCCGACAGGGGATGAGGAGCGCACAGGCTTTTGCATTGGAGTTCCGGACTCTAGCGGCAGATGCAGGGTGGAATGAGCGGGCCCTCATAGACCACTTCCGCTGCAGCCTCCGGGAGGACGTCCAGAGAGAGTTGGCGTGCAGGGATACCACGTTGTCGTTTGACCAACTGGTCGACATGGCCATTCGGCTGGACACCCTGCTCGCTACCCGTGGACGTCCCGGGTGGGGGTTGCCCATTCCACCTTCCAGCACCTCCGAGCCGAGCCCTATGGAGCTCGGAGGTGCTGGCGCTAGGGAACGGAGGAGTAGGAACCCGAGGGGGGCCGTTCCCTGCACCAACTGTGGCCGTGGAGGACACACCGCGGCTAGGTGTTGGGGAGGGTCCCCTGGTGGAGGTGAGGTCAGGCCAGGCATTGGGGAGTCCTCCCAGGTGAGTAGGCGCCCTACTTACCCAGAGCTTTCTGTCGTTCACCTAACCTTGCCTGTTTGTTTTCCACAGGTTGCACCTCGTTCCCAGCATAAGGCGCTGGTAGATTCAGGCGCAGCTGGGAATTTTATAGATCGCCAGTTCTGTGTAAAGTTAGGGATTCCCCTCCGTCCTGTTGATAAGCCTTTCCCTGTACATGCCCTAGATAGCCGTCCGTTAGGATCTGGGTTGATTAGGGAGGTCACAGCGCCTCTTAAGATGGTGACGCAGGGGGGTCATGAGGAGACGATTCAGCTCTATCTGATTGACTCTCCTGCATATCCGGTGGTGCTGGGGCTTCCCTGGTTAATTACCCATGACCCTACTATTTCGTGGCGAGAGAAAGCTCTTACAGGGTGGTCTGCTCAGTGTGTGGGGCTGTGTCTGGGTGTTTCCATAGGGGCGACCTCGGTGGAGAGTCCGAATCTAATGCCAGCACTGCAGATTCCCCCTGAGTATGAGGATTTGAAACTTGTGTTCAGTAAGACTAGGGCAGCGCAGCTGCCGCCTCATAGACAGGGGGATTGTGCGATAGATCTCCAGTCAGGAGCAGCCCTCCCGCGGAGCCATGTGTATCCCTTGTCCCAAGAGGAGAGGAAGGCAATGGAAACTTACATCGCCGAGTCTCTGAGACAGGGATACATACGGGCCTCCACTTCACCCGCTTCCTCTAGCTTCTTTTTTGTGAAGAAAAAAGATGGAGGTCTGCGCCCGTGTATTGATTACCGCGGTCTCAATCAGATTACAGTGAAGTACAGCTATCCACTTCCTCTGATTGCGACTATGACGGAGTCATTACACGGTGCTCAGTTCTTCACAAAACTGGATCTTAGGAGCGCATATAACTTGGTGCGCATTAGAGAGGGCGATGAATGGAAGACAGCATTTAGCACGACCTCCGGTCATTACGAGTATCTCGTCATGCCATATGGGTTAATGAATGCTCCCTCAGTCTTCCAATCCTTTGTAGATGAGATTTTCCGGGACATGCAGGGGCAGGGAGTAGTCGTGTACATAGACGATATTCTAGTGTACAGTTCTACCCGAGCTGAGCATGTAGCCCTGGTGCGCCGAGTGTTGAGGAGGCTGTTGGAGCATGACCTATATGTCAAGGCAGAGAAATGTCTGTTCTTTCAGAAGTCGGTCTCCTTTTTGGGTTATCAATTGTCTGCGTCAGGGGTGAAGATGGAGGTTGACCGGGTGTCAGCTGTGCGTAATTGGCAAACCCCAACCACTGTGAAAGAGGTGCAACAGTTCTTGGGCTTTGCGAATTATTACCGGAGGTTTATCCGGGGTTTTGGACAGGTGGCAGCTCCCATTACGTCTCTGTTGAAGGGGGGTCCGGTGCGCTTGCAGTGGTCAGCTGAGGCGGACAGGGCTTTTGGGAGACTGAAGGACCTGTTTACCTCAGCGCCGGTGTTGGCGCATCCGGATCCCGCTTTGCCTTTCCAGGTGGAGGTAGACGCGTCCGAGGCTGGTATTGGGGCCGTTCTCTCACAACGGTCTGGCACACCACCTAAACTCCGCCCCTGTGCTTTTTATTCTAAGAAGCTCAGTCCGGCGGAGCGGAATTATGACGTAGGGGACAGGGAGCTGTTAGCCGTGGTACAGGCCCTAAAGGTGTGGAGGCATTGGCTTGAGGGGGCTCAACACCCTTTCCTCATTCTAACTGACCACCGTAACCTGGAATACATCCGGGCAGCTAGGAGACTGAATCCTCGCCAGGCCCGCTGGACTATGTTTCTAGCCCGGTTTGTGTTTAAAATCACTTACATCCCTGGGTCCCAGAACGGGAAGGCAGATGCCCTGTCTCGGCGATATGACACGGAGGAGAGGTCCGTTGAGCCCACTCCCATACTACCGAAGTCGTGTCTGGTTGCACCAGTGGTGTGGGAGGTCGATGCCGAGATCGAGCGGGCGTTACGCACCGACCCAAGTCCTCCCCAGTGTCCTGTGGGTCGGACGTACGTTCCGCTCGAGGTACGCGATCGCCTCATTTATTGGGCTCATACGTCCCCCTCCTCTGGACATCCAGGTATCGGCCGGACAGTTCACTGCCTTAGCACTAAGTACTGGTGGCCAACGTTAGCCGGGGATGTGAGGATTTATGTCTCCTCCTGTTCGGTGTGTGCCCAGTGTAAGGCGCCCAGACATTTGCCCAGGGGTAAGCTACAACCCCTGCCCGTTCCACAACGACCCTGGTCCCACCTCTCGGTGGATTTTGTTACAGACCTTCCCCTCTCACAGGGGAATACTACCATCCTGGTCGTTGTGGATCGGTTCTCGAAGGCCTGTCGTCTCCTACCCATGCCGGGTCTACCTACTGCCCTACAGACCGCTGAGGCTCTGTTTACCCATGTCTTCCGGCATTACGGGGTACCCGAGGATATAGTGTCTGATCGAGGCCCCCAGTTCACCTCCAGAGTGTGGAGAGCGTTTATGGAACGGTTGGGGGTTTCGGTGAGCCTTACCTCGGGTTACCACCCGGAGAGTAATGGGCAGGTTGAACGTGTCAACCAGGATGTGGGGAGGTTTCTGAGGTCTTATTGCCAGGGCCGGCCGGAGGAGTGGGCGAGATACGTTCCGTGGGCCGAGATGGCGCAGAACTCTCTCCGCCACTCCTCCACCCAACTAACCCCTTTCCAGTGTGTGTTAGGGTACCAGCCGGTTCTGGCACCTTGGCACGAGAGCCAGATCGAGGCCCCTGCGGTGGATGAGTGGGTGCGGCGCTCGGAGGAGACGTGGAACGCTGCCCACGTTCATCTGCAGCGGGCCATCCGTCGGCATAAGACGAGCGCCGATCTCCACCGCAGTGAGGGGCCTGTGTACGCACCTGGAGATCGAGTCTGGCTCTCAACCAGAAACCTGCCCCTCCGCCTGCCCTGCCGGAAGCTGGGTCGGCGGTTTGTGGGGCCATTTAAAGTCCTGAGGAGGTTGAACGAGGTGTGTTACAGGTTAGAACTGCCTATTGATTACAGGAGTATTAACCCCTCGTTTCATGTGTCTCTCCTCAGGCCAGTGGTAGCTGGTCCACTCCAGGATTATGAGATAGAGGAGATTCCTCCGCCCCCGTTGGACATCGAGGGGGCTCCGGCGTACACTGTGAGGTCCATCCTTGATTCGAGACGCCGGATGGGGGGTCTCCAATATCTCGTGGAGTGGGAGGGGTACGGCCCGGAGGAGCGGTGCTGGGTGCCGTGGAGGGACATACTAGACCTGTCCTTGCTGACCGAGTTCCATCGGGGTCATCCTACGCGCCCTGCTCCGCGTCGTCCTGGTCGTCCCCGAGGCCGGGATCGGCGCACGGCTGGAGCCGCGCGTCAAGGGGGGGGGTACTGCCACGGTTTCGGCCGAGGCTGCTCCTTCTCCTTGTTCGGGCAGGCTTCGGCGGTCGTCGTCCCCGGAGTACTAGCTACCACCGTTCGATGTTTCATGTTTGTTTGGTTTTGTCTAGTTGTACACCTGTCCCTTGTTAGTGTTTGATTTTGTTTCCTATTTAGTTATCGTGTGTTGGGTCAGGTGTTATGTGTGATTATTGTTGTCAGCTGTTGCCATTGAGGAGTTTCCTCTCTCATATTGTTGTATCTTGAGAGTTCGCACTGCGTGCGCTTTTTTCTTGTTTTCGCACTGTTGTTGCTGTGCGTAATTGTTCGTGCCACCCGGTTGGGTTGGCGACTCATTCCTGTTTGGATTTACTAAAGTCTGTTGACGAACACCCCTGTTCCTGCGCTTGATTCCCTGCACCACATCCACAAGCAGCGTTCTGACAAGGCTACATGTCGTATTAAACAGCATATAAACACTCTAAACAGGTAGCCTAAGAAGGAACGAAAATGAATTATTAGCCTATTACTTCAATTATAGCCTATAGCCTACAAATAAATAAATTGTGAAGCATTTGCGAGTGCGCTCAGCATTTAAACAACAGTTCATTGTATTAAACCATTATAGTCTATAAATTGTGCATATAGGCTGTGACTTACTTAGAATTAAATACACATTTTACGAAAAATGCCTTATTAGGCTCAGTGCCTTTGAATTCACTTTTAGAAACATGAGTTTGGCCAGAGTCTGTGGCTTCAGGCTCATGCCCGGAGAGCAGGCCAGAAACGGAATGCGCTTGTATTGCCACTGAGGATGCTAAACACCCTTTGGGCCACTCTTGCCATGCTGGGCATGGATGTAGAGTTGTTTTTTATTTTTCTATAGGTAGGACTAAAGGTTTTTAGGAAAATAACCCTATCAAAACGGAAAGCTCCTTGAAATAGGTAATATGTCAGCCAATTGGGCCAAAATCAATGATAGCTTATTGTATAGATAATAGAACGAAAATTAACTAAACTTAAATACTTTGCTACAATGACACACTTAGCTAGCTACCCACCTCATTTCTTTCTGTTAGCATGTGCACGTAGTACACCATCATGCTTTCTGTGTCTTTTCCGATTCCAAGACTTACAGTGCCTTTCAAACGTATTCATCCCCTTGGCGTTTTTCCTATTTTGTAGCATTACAACCTGTAATTTAAATGGATATTTATTTGGATTTCATGAAATGGATATACACAAAATAGTCCTAATTGGTGAAGTGAATTGAAAAAATAAATAACGGAATGCTATGAAGCCCCTAAATAAGATCTGGTGCAACCAATTACCTTCAGAAGTCACATAATTTGTTAAATAAAGTCCACCTGTGTGCAATCTAAGTGTCTCATGATCTCAGTATATATACACCTGTTCTGAAAGGCCCCAGAGTCTGCAACACCGCTAAGCAAGGGGCAACACCAAGCAAGCGGCACCATGAAGACCAAGGAGCTCTCCAAACAGGTCAGGGACAAAGTTGTGGAAGGTACAGATGAGGGTTGGGTTAAAAAATAGCCAAAACTTTGAACATCCCACGGAGCACCATTAAATCCATTATTTTAAAATGGAAAGAATATGGCACCACAACAAACCTGCCAAGAGAGGGCCGCCCACCAAAACTCACGGACCAGGCAAGGAGGGCATTAATCAGAGAGGCAACAAAGAGACCAAAGATAACCCTGAAGGAGCTGCAAAGCTCCACAGCAGAGATTGGAGTATCTGTCCATAGGACCACTTTAGGCCTTACACTCCACAGAGCTGGGCTTTACGGAAGAGTTGCCAGAAAAAAGCCATTGCTTCAAGAAAGAAATAAGCAAACACATTTGGTGTTCACCAAAAGGCTTGTAGGAGACTCCCCAAACATATGGAAGAAGGTACTCTGGTCAGATGAGACTAAAATTGAACTTTTTGGCCATCAAGGAAAACGCTATTTCTGGCGCAAACCCAACACCTCTCACCACCCCGAGAACTCCATCCCCACAGTGAAGCATGGTGGCGGCAGCATCATGCTGTGGGGATGTTTTTCATCGGCAGGGACTGGGAAACTGGTCAGAATTGAAGGAATGATGGATGGCGCTAAATACAGGGAAATTCTTCAGGGAAACCTGTTTCAGTCTTCCAGAGATTTGAGACTGGGATGGAGGTTCACCTTCTAGCCGGACAATGACCCTAAGCATACTGTTAAAGCAACACTTGAGTGGTTTAAGGGGAAACATTTAAATGTCTTGGAATGGCCTAGTAAAAGCCCAGACCTCAATCCAATTGAGAATCTGTGGTATGACTTAAAGATTGCACCAGCGGAACCTATCCAACTTGAAGGAGCTGGAGCAGTTTTGCCTTGAAGAATGGGCAAAAATCCCAGTGGATAGATGTGCCAAGCTTATAGAGACATACCCCAAGAGACTTGCAGCTGTAATTGCTGCAAAGGGTGGCTCTACAAAGTATTGACTTTCGGGGGTGAATAGTTACGCACGCTCATGTTCAGTTTTTTTGTATTTTTTCTTGTTTGTTTCACCATTTTTTTTTATTTTGCATCTTCAAAGTGGTAGGCACGTTGTGTAAATCAAATGTTACAAACCCCCCAAAAAATCCATTTTAATTCCAGGTTGTAAGGCAACAAAATAGGAAAAATGCCAAGGGGGGTGAATACTTTCGCATGCCACTGTAGTTGTGGACACTACATCACCGCATTCCCGCTCTTGCTGTTGGTCCTCCTCATCTTTGTAAGTCACCTTGATTTTGCACCTGTGTGTTTTATCAGTTTCTTTATGAAAATATTTAACAAACTCCATGACGGTAACTAAAGCAAAGGGCTAACACAAGTAGCCTACAAATGCATGCTGGGACGGTCATGCCCTGAGCTCGTGAAGTGAAGTGAGCGCTACTGGAGCGCTACTGGAGCGCTACTGGAGCAAAATTGGAGCAGGTGAGAAGGCGGATACTCCAGCCTTTTGGAAACTCGCTCTGCTCTCCAGTCAAATTGAGCACGCTCCGCTCTGGTGTGGAGCCTTCCTCTCTTTCCTTCCTCGAACACCTCGGCAGGACCATCTTTGTTTCGGCGACGGTCTTAGTTTTGCGACGAGACCCCCGCTTACAGCTGCCGCTGAGAAAACAGGGGAGACTGAAGTACTAATACTAATATCTCATTCCCTTGCAAAGGTGAAGAGTACACCTCCCGGTACTAATTGCTGATTGCCTAGGAGAGGAGAAACCACTCCCCCTCCAATACAGCCACTGATTACTAAAACAACAACAGTCACAAATTGCCCTGCCCCTTAATCCTGGGTGATGTGTCAACAATCATCTGCAAATTAATAGCAGTCAGTGGTTCACATACCAAGTAGGCTACTGGGAAGACAGGCAGCACTTAAAGTAGATGACCCTATCTAGCAAAAAGACAGTACTAGACAACAGATAAAGACAACAATTATACTCCTGGAGATATCAGGAATATAGGAATGTGAGGAATGTGATTGTCATTAGGACTTGATGCGGTGGTACATATGATAGATGTATTTATCTTTGACGCTTGTATGTTTCTGTAATTGAAATGTATGTGTCTACATCCCAATTTGTTTTTAATGGTGTGTCTATGTCTGTAAGTTGTTACAGTATGTCTGATATTTGTCTCAAACATTGTTCCCCCCTGCTGCTGTCTTGGTTAGACCAAGTATCTCTTAAATGAGACTAACCTGAATAAATAAAGGTTAAATAAAATAAAATAAATGCGAATAGCATGCTATTTACCCGCTAATCATTCACGTGAAGCTCGAATAAATTAAGGTGTTGCTGAGATGTGTCTACAGATACTCTGTATTCTGACCTTGACTTAATTCCACCACCTTTACGCGTGAGGAAACCATGAATAAGGTCTAGCGAACCTACCGGTTCCAAGTGAAAAAAACATATACTTATTTTTTCTGATGGAGAATGGTGTTATTTCTATGCACTGTAATTTACAACTTGAAAAGAGCTATTGATAAGAGCTAGGTAAATGAGTAATCCGTTTGGATAAGGGACTTGTAAATTTAAATGACAAATGTGAAACCAGTCATATGGCAGCAAACGGAAGCATATCAAAATATAAATTTTCCCACAGTAAAGTTTATGAAATGCTGTGCCATTATGCAGATTTTAAATTGTATGGCTTTTAACCTGCAGGGATTGGCACTCTTGAATGTCTTCATTATAGTCTACCCTGACTTTCTCTGTTTCCTATATCTATCATGTTAAATATTAACCACTGTCAGTATCGATTGTCAGTAGGCCTAATAACAACACATATTCAACTGCCAATTTACTGTTAATTCCCTTCAGTTGGTATAGCCTACATTATCATTCCATTTAATTACATTGTTTTGTTTACCTTAAGTTGCTTCCTCTGTAAACGCCGTCAAGGCCGTGTTGTTGTTGCTGAGGATCATTGGTAACAGCTGATAATATATATATTTTTTAAAGACATGTAAGCTAATTAAATCGTTTTGGAGCGAAGCGCAGACCAAGCTGTAACGGTTTGAACCTGATGTATGGCGCAATACTTGGCCGTGTCATCACACAGTTCCATGGTTAGTGCAGGCAATAGACGAGGGTACAGGCTACTATGGTACACTATTCTCCCTATTATAATTCTATGTACACTAATCTTTCAAAATTACCATGGGTTGAAGAACTAATGTGGCAATTTTCTGAATGAATCAAACCACCTTTTTCGTTCATTCGTACGTAAAGGCTCTCCAAACCAGTTTTTTATGATCCATAAATACTTTCCTAAAGCTAAATAATCTACAAGATCAGAGTATTTTTAAATCTACCAATTGGTGTTGAAATGGCGATGAATATGCATATATTTAGATGGATTTATTTAATTGATCCCTAATATTCGGAACCCGTTCTCTCAATATGTTCTAGTGAATCTGTCGACAAAATTCTAACTAAATGTCATACAGTATTTATTTATTTATTTATTGTATCATTTTATTTTGGTTTTTAGACAATACACAAATATACATATACAATGATACAGTACACCGTATCTAAAGGGATGACTTAAGATAAATGTACTGAAAACCTTATTGAATGAAAACTCCACTAGAAAATCTGTTGGCCAGCAAGTAGGAGTGTATTCAGAGTGTGGAAGGAAGCCACACCTGCAGAGCGCGTTACGCGACTGAATTTCAAATACTGAAAAGTACGTAGGAAAGGCTTGCATTTCCTAAGTCTGAATCGGCCCCTTACAGCGATGCTAGGCACATGTAATGCTTATGAAAGTAAGGCTTATCGTATCAGTCTACTATCACTTTACCACTTTCATTCAGATTAATCAGGAATTTAACATGTTTTCAGATTATAGGGATTTGTGTTCTCTTCTCCAATGAAAACACACTAAAAGCACAACAATGCTTTGTCTGCAATAATGTGATTTCTCCTCTGCCTCTAAAAGTTGTCTCTATCAATTACTGTTAAATGTGAATGCAACTGACCATATCCATCAACCATCAGCTTATTATCTGACCCATAGATCTGCTGGGTGAAGGTGGGTGGGAGGACAAAGGGCACTGATGGACATGGCTAGAGGTTGCTCTCCTCTCCTCCCTGACCTGTTGTTTTCACAGCTGCTGACCCCTTGACAGGGATAACAAAAGGTCTAATGATGGGTCAGGGGGAAGCCAAGACAGAGACTGATAACCCTCCCTGTCCAAACAAGCTCACACAAAGCCTGACCAGACCACGCTCAACAAATAGCACAGATATTGAGCATTTACTCCTCTGCCTTTGGCCCTTGACAAGACGGGTCATGGGTGCCTCTATAACAGGGGTCTCCAACCCTGTTCCTGGAGAGCTACCCTCCTGTAGGTTTCGATCCAACCCCAGGTGTAACTAACCTGATTCAGCTTATCAATCAGCTAATTAATATAATAATGATCACTAGATTAGTGTTGAAGCGAAAACCTACAGGACGTTAGCTCTCCAGGAACAGGGTTGGAGAGCCCTGCTCTATAAGAACTACAGGCAGCCTATACTGTTTAATGACTATGTGTACTGTATGTTTATGATGATGTGACATTTCACCTGGGTTATAGCTATTGCCTTCAGGTTGATTACACTGATCAAGAGGAGAATTCATTATCTAATGTTTCGTTCCCAAAAAATGACTTTTGAAGTTACACACAAAACAAGCAAATGCGAAACCGGGTGATGAGGATTTCACATTTTACAGTGTAGCACTTTGAGAGATTGCCTTGTAGCCAATACAGGTTGTATTCCCTCTGAGTGATTAACTGTAATAACGCTTGTTATGGCCCCATGATGTAGACCATGGATGGCCAATTTAAAATAAATTAACAACAAAAAATACAAATATTGATAATCAGTTATCATATTAAAAACTGCAAACATTTGCCTCCACCCTGTTGGGTACTAACTTCTAAAATTGAAATATCCCTATTCATGTTACCATATTAGAACTGAGGGTATGGAAATCTACTGAGTGAGAAAGGGAAGTGCAGAAAGTTTACATTCTGTCAGAACATGTTATTGTTAAATCTCAGGTATCCACAGTCTGGTTTCAGTCAACAGACAAGGTAGGAAAGCCATGAGTTGAGGAGGAGTAAGGAATTTGGGCCGAGGTCAGGTCAGATGAAGTGAGAAAGAAGTCACCACTAAAGTCCTGTCTAGCAACAGAGATGTATTGGCTGTTCAGATGTGCAAGGAGGAGACTCAGCATAAGAGGAAGGTATAAATATATGTGCTTGTGTGAACATGTCTTTGTTTTATGCAGCTGTGTGACCCGGTGGGTGAATAAACTTGGTTTGAGCTTTACTAGTTGTCTGTGAGCTTTACTCTGTTTGTCAGAACCTAACAACCCTTTGGCAAAATTTGTAGAATTCAGGAAATTTGCTTTAAAACTGCTCATTTTTCTCTCCACCCCATGGCAAAAGGTGTAGAATTGCAGGATATTAACTTTAGAACAAAAAAATAGTTTTTTCTTTGCTGTCACGAGGGGGGTAGCTAAAATGTTTTGCACGCAAGGTGGGAGGGCCACTGCGGCCCCTCATGATGAGTTCAATTTTTTTGTGGCCCCCACCCCCATCAAAGTTGCCCATCCCTGATGTAGACCATTACAATTCAATAGAGAGTGTGTCTGTTCGGACAATACTTCTCCATGTGAAGCAGGGATCCTTCAATAAATAATCAACCTGAGGACATCAAACAGATAAACTATTACACACACTCACACACTCCATTCCTCTCCACTCTGCATCACATGCTTGTGTGCGGCACTGTGCTCGGCAGGAGAAAGAGAGGCTCATTGTTATTCTGCGAGGGTCGCCTGATCTCAGCCAAATCTGTCTGTGCCTCGCTCCTGATTCCACATCATTTCTCTATTGTTTGGCTCAGAGAAATCCCCAAATCCCCCTACTCTGGGATCGGCTGGAAAAGCAGGAAATCTGAGAGAGCAGCCCAGCAAGCTCCTCTCCTCCTGGAATTCCTCTCTAAAGCTCTAGGAAGGCCTGATTGAAATGAGAGAGAGGGGGAAAGGATTTATGCCTTTCCTGGCTCTTAAGGGCCAAAAGCCACAAGCAGTCGGTATGGTTCCAATATTAGGAGAAAGAGAGTGCATGGCCATGTCCTGGTTTGTTGGTTACATGCATCCATGTTCTCATAATACAGTCAGAATGGGGAGACTATCTCCTTGAAGGAAGAATATGTCTCTCCTTGAACAACCAGGGCTCATCAATAAGTGATGTCCTGTCTCTTCAAGTCCATCACACTCTAGGAAGTGCTGCCTTGATTTGTATCAAGAGACACTTCTGTACAATGCCTGTGCCCGTTTCTCCCTTACCGAAAAACCTTATTTGTGCCTTCACTTGATGTTTATAGGTTATTTCCAGACACATTTAACTAATTTATGCCGCCTGTATTGTCCAAACACCCTCTGCCTCCTTGTTCTTCAGTTTAGTTTAAAAATACATTCCAACAGTCGGGAGACAAGTGAGTGTAGCAGTGATAGCAGGGCTTTTGGCCGCACTGAAATCTAATCCCATTACACAGTGCCATGCGACTGAGCCAGAATAATCACTTGAGTTAAAAGTGATTACCACTGTTCCCTCTTATCTCCCAATGAGTCCAGAGGACTTCTGCCAACAACAACTGCTCTGCTAGCTGATGTAATGCTGGCCCAACTGGAAAACACCATATGACATCTACAAACCAAGGAAATGTCTCTAATGGTTTTCTATGGAGTGTGTAGCATAGTTTAAAATGTATGGAAGTCTAGAGGTTTTCTATGGGATGTGTGTAGCAAGTATAATATGCATGTAGTCTAGAGGTTTTCTGTGGGATGTGTGTAGCAAGTATAACATGCATGTAGTCTAGAGGTTTTCTATGGGGTGTGTGAGGCATGTATGATGCATGTTAGTCATAGTCGATGCACATGGGTGAAGAATTAGAGCATCTGTCCTTCTGTCTGACCATGCCCTGCATATCTTACACACAACCCAACATGGAGTTTACATATAATATGAGCGATAAATGAAAAAAGTAGTACCACAATGTGTGTAGGAGAGCACAATATCAAATATTTCCGCTATTTGCTTGATTTCCAATTCATCTTTACTATTTTTGATTCTCGTGGTAATATTGTGATATTATACACATAACCCTAAGCCCAAATAATGTTGGCTAATCATAAATTAATGTATTATTATTTTCATCACAACTCTAAACCCATAAAGTACATACAGTACATAATTCTATTCATACTCATAGGAAAGGATCTTGTTAACCTTTACACATTTCTGATAAGGTAGGGAATGGGAGATTCCTCACCTGATTGTCAGATGTGATGTAGAGAGAGTTGCGGTCCAGAGAGAAGGCCATGTCTCGGAGGATAGGACTACCTTCTGACATCACGGTCAGGGTCTCATACTGCACCCCACCCTCAGGAGGCCCATCCACTCGGATCTGGAGGAGAGAGAGACAGACATAGGTCTGGTCAATTACATCTGTATGCTTGACAATAAAATAGTGACGGTTTTGACCAAACAAACCTATGGAGTACTGTACTCTTAGCTCCGCTTTGTAATGTTTGTCCCTACTCCAGGATTAGTTCATTTTGTGACTGGTGATGGCATGTTTCTGGGTTGTTTTCAAGTAAACCAGACTCTAAGGATTAATTTGACTTTGGCACGACATTCAAACCACGTTCTTTTGGGGCGCATTAAAAGCATGTGTACGGATAGGCACACACTTACAAACAGAGAATTGGATTCCCTTCCCCAACCCACTTCAGTCCGGTGGCCACATTTTCATCAATACACAGAAAACACTGACCTCCTCATTAGTAGGTGATGTCAGAAATCTGAATTGCTTCATACAGTAACAGTACATTGTTATCACATCTGAACATGTAAATTGATATACCCTGAGTCTTAACAGACAAAAATAATAGACCTTCAAGTTTGACAACCGAGAAAAAATATCCTCATTAGATATACTATCTCCAGTTTAATGGTTGCTTAGAATTCAGCACGATAATATCAATTGGCTGATTAAACCTATGCAACTACCGTGAAGTGGAAATGCTTTCTCAGATAAAGACGATACTCATCTAAATACAGAATGACAGGAGACTAAGCAGAGGGATATACATTAGGGAGCAGACGTGAGAAGCCCATAATAAACTATATATCCTCCATTCTGGTTATCTGGACTGTACAAATCTCCAGCACCAAGATCAAGTTGGACTGCAGCAAATCTCCCTGCGTGCCAGGTCAGTGCACATAGCCACTGGCAGGCCCACAACACTCTCTCAATAGACACAGCAGGAATCAATAGAAACTGATTACGTGATTGGATCCCCTGGGCTCAAAAACAGCACCAATTAATCAACCCTTCCACCTTCCAGTCAGCAGCCCTCTCCTGCAGGCTGGGCTCCCCACCATAAACAAAGGGGAATATAGACAAAAACACCTCATGGACTGAGATGGGAGAATCCTACAGTAGAATCCCTCTGTGACAAAGAGACCAAAGCCTGGCAAGCAGCCCCAGCGCTGGAGTCATTTAGGGACACGGTCAGGGGATTCTATCAGCTTCGTTTGTCATTTAACCAGCTCTGTCCACCATTGATTTGACACTGTCATCCCCCTAACGAGTCACTCAATAGAAAGTTGTATCCAGTTAAGCATCTGTAACTCTTCATTTATTTCATGGTTCCCTGCCCCCCCCTCCCTGTCGCCCCGCTCATCCTCGGCCTCTCTTACCACAATCCCACGTAAAGTGGAGTCGGCTTCCATTCTATTTCCCACAATCCATATTTCATTCATATAAACCAGAGCTTGTATGAGTTCCACTCTCAAAACTTGATTGGAAATAAAACTGAAATTGCCCAGAGAGATATTGTGCCAGTGTATTAAGCAGGGCATTAGGAGTAGTGAGTAGCCAATGTTAGTCAGCTAGCTACCAATGTTCGCTATCTGCCACTGTTAACGATACTGATTTGTTTAGGGCTGACCCCATTTAGTTATTTGGTCGATAGGCTGTTGGTCGAGAAGTCACACTTTTTATTTTTTCATGGTGCAAGACACCTGTCTGATTCGCGCCTGTCTCAGTGGACTAATCCATTGCGGACACCACGAGGATGGCACAGTCCATCACTAAGACATGTGATACTGAAATTGTATATGAAAATGTATGCACTCACTAACTGTAAGTCGCTCTGGATAAGAGTGTCTGCTAAATGACAAAAATGTAAATGTCAATGTAAAGTAGGAGGTTGACCAGGGGCAACCACAGTGAACAAGGTCCAATGTATGAGCTCAGAGGAAATAGTGACCATTTGACTGGCCCAGAGTTTGATTGCAGTCCATTTATACATGATTTTATAATTTAAAACAGGGTTGCTTGGGCTTTGGCCCTGTGGGACTACATCAGGTCCTCAATCTCTCTTAAGCCTCACAGTTCGTAATGAGAGGAGGACCGTTTAATTGGTTTTATAATGAGCCTGGTGGTAGCTAATGAGATGTGCACAGTATCTGGAAGCTGTCCTAGTTCAGCCAGAGTTTTCTGGTAGAAGTAATGTACATGATAAAAAGTGGCTAGTTTACAAAGTTCAACTCATGCCTGCTACCCCATCAACCTTAGCCATGTAATGATGAAAATGTTTTGTAAATGAGTAGGAAACATCATTCAAGGTCCAGAACACATGAACCACAAACCACAAATAAATTAATTTCATGGCTCTTAGTGTATGTGCACACAAAGATTTTTGCTCTCTCTTCATGTGCAGTCTGTTTTGCTGAATAGAAAGGTTACTAATGTTTGGCTAAATGCCTTTTTCTACTCTAGTTTTTCTGTTGTCTTTCCTTAAATGTCCAAACTGTAACCTAACGTTACAAGAGGAAATACATTTTACTACTGAATAATATTTAGACCTACAACAGTGTGTTTTCTTTCCTTTATACTGACAGGGGGAATTCATCTTAACATTAGAGGCCAACATTGGATACAAACAAGAAAGTAAATTAACCCTACAAATAAGTATTAGAATGTCATATGACCCCACATACTCTTAGTAAGGACTTAATTAAATTAACCTGTTGTCACGGAATCAGCCGAGGCTGCTCCTCCTCCTTGCTCGGGCAGGCTTCGGCGTTCGTCGTCCCCGGAGTACTAGCTGCCACCGATCGATGTTTCGGTGTTTGTCTAGTTTGTCTTGATTGTTTTCACCTGTTTCCCATTATGTTACATTGTATTCCCTTTATAACCCCCTGTCTCTCATTGGTTATTGTGTGTGATTGTTTTCCGTGAGGTCGGCAGTGTTCGGGTGTATGCGTATTTTGTTCCTCCCTGTTTGCAGGTTTTGTTTGTAATTTTGATTACTGTGCAAGTAAAGTTCGTCTGCCAGTAGCTCGGTGTCCTGCGTTTGACTTCGCTCACAGCATACACATCGCCCGACACCTGTTCCCTTCCACAGCTCTTTTAGCATGGTTTGCTGCTTTTTCTGCTTCTCAGTGGTAGCTTGTTGTGATTCCATCCTTTAAAGAGATTCTCTGGTTCTTTTGTATACTTTTTAGCCAGTAGTTCTGAAAGTAGTGCTCATGAGCCAAAAGTGGTCCCGAAAATTGCATACTACATCACATATGTGCAGATATGTGCACCACGTCACTGCTCTCTCTATAACTCTGCTGTGTGTGCATCTTGCTAGCTGTCATTCAAATGGCGAGGGGCTAAAGCACATTGGCTAGAACTCTAATTGCTAGCGGGCTAGCCCACGTGGGGAATAATTCAGGGAAAATGGCGCAGCACAGAATCCAGAAAATCAGTCGCTTTCAAACTAATTTCGTGGCTAATTGAGCTATGACAGTAATTATGTTGATAGATTATGCATGTATGAACTACACATTCACACATCAAGCCCAAAGCAGGAGGTTTAAGAAATACTTAGTAGTCGCCAAAGTTCAGGAGCATCTTTAAATGCAAATAAAAACCAAAGCACAAACCTCTAGGATGTCATACAAAAAAAATAGTAGGGGTAGTTTGAAAGCTGCCAGACAGCTTCCTGGACCCACATCACAACACGTTCTTACATTTCTCTACCACTATTGCGATATGGAATTGATTATGTGATTATTGTGATCTATGAAACAATTTGAAAGGGTTCTAGAAGAGGTAAACATTACTGTACATAAATGTTCCTTCTAGCTTTCCATTTCCCTGGAAGTTGGTATGAAAGAGGATCAGTTCACAGTACATGTCTTTAGCCTGCCAATCCCACTAAATGTGACCAGATGTGACTAGCATGGGCAAAGCGTGTTAAGTGTATCATACCATATGGATAATAGACTGGGAGCACTCTCTTCAGCTAGCCTATACGTTTTAGTCTAGTATCCACCAAAATCAAATCAAATCGTATTTGTCACATACACGTGTTTAACAGATGTTATAGCGGGTAAAGCAAAATACTTGTGCTACTAGCTCCGACAGTGCCGTAATATCTAACAAGTAATATCTAACAATTTCACAACATATACCCAATACACACAAAACTAGTAAGGAATGGAATTTAAGAATATATACATATATGGACAAGCAATGACAGAGCGGCATGGACTAAGATACAGTAGAATATTATAGAATAGAATGCAGTATATACATATGAGATGAGTAGTGCAAGATATGTAAACATTATTAAAGTGACTAGTGTTCCATTCCTTAAAGTGGCCAGCGATTTCAATAGGCAGCAGCAGCCTCTAATGTGATAGTGATGGCTATTTAACAGTCTGATGGCCTTGAGATAGAAGCTGTTTTTCATTCTCTCGGTCCCAGCTTTGATGCACCTGTACTGACTTCGCCTTCTGGATGATAGCGGGGTGAACAGGCAGATTATCTTTTTGGCCTTCCTGTGACATCGGGTGCTGTATGTGTCTTGGAGGGCAGGTAGTTTGCCCCTGGTAATGCGTTCGGCAGACCGCACCACCCTCTGGAGAGCCCTGCGGTTGTGGGCGGTGCAGTTGCCGTACCAGGCGGTGATACAGCCCGACAGGATGCTCTGAATTGTGCATCTGTAAAGGTTTGTGAGGGTTTTAGGTGCCAAGCCGAATTTCTTCAGCCTCCTGAGGTTGAAGAGGTTCTGTTGCGTCTTCTTCACCACACTGTCTGCGTGGGTGGAACATTACAGTTTGTCTGTGATGTGTACGCCAAGGAACTTGAAGCTTTCCACCTTCTCCACTGCGGTCCCGTCAATGTGGATAGGGGGGTGCACCCTCTGCTGTTTCCTGAAGTCCACGATCATCTCCTTTGTTTTGTTGATGTTGAGTGAGAGGTTATTTTCCTGGCACCACACTCCAAGAGCCCTCACCTCCTCCCTGTAAGCGGTCTCGTCATTGTTGGTAATCAAGCCTACTACTGTTGTGTCGTCTGCAAACTTGATGATTGAGTTAGAGGCGTGCTTGGCCACACAGTCATGGGTGAACAGGGAGTACAGGAGGGGGCTGAGCACGCACCCTTGTGGGGCCCCAGTGTTGAGGATCAGCGAAGTGGAGATGTTGTTTCCTACCTTCACCACCTTGGGGCGGCCCGTCAGGAAGTCCAGGACCCAGTTGCACAGGGTGGGGTTCAGACCCAGGGCCTTGAGCTTAATGATGAGCTTGGAGGGTACTATGGTGTTGAATGCTGAGCTGTAGTCAATGAACAGCATTCTTTCATAGGTATTCCTCTTGTCCAGATGGGAAAGGGCAAATGTGCAGTGTGATGGCGATTGCATTGTCTGTGGATCTATTGGGGCGGTAAGCAAATTGAAGTGGGTCTAGGGTGACAGGTAAGGTAGAAGTGACATGATCCTTGACTAGTCTCTCAAAGCACTTCATGATGACAGAGGTGAGTGCTACAGGGCGATAGTCATTTAGTTCAGTTACTGAGGGGGATTTTTTAGTGAACTATGTTCTAAACAAAGTTAAATCACGGACGTCTCTGTTGCTAGGCAAGAACTAAGAATGGTTCCTTTCACTGGGCTTGTGTATGTGTGAAATGAGCTGGAAAGACCCTAGGTGGGGGGCCCATACCAGGTGTTGTTGGCTACCTCAATGACGGTGAAAGTGGCAGAGACAGATATTGAGATCCATGTTTCCCACCGTAGGAGTGTTCCAACCCCAGGAGAGGAAGATGGCCCTGCCATTGGGTAGCATTGTTTTCTTTTGTGTTTGTCTGTGTTTGTGTGTCTTTGCAGCAGTAACTCTGAGCTTCCCTATGGGTAGGCTGGTAGAAGGACACTCTTCGCAGACCGATGTCGATGGATTGAGAGCGACTGGCTGATCCGGAGACCCTAGTGACGGAAGAAAGTTAAGAGCTAAAGTGACCATACATCGTCATCCTGGTTACACCAACGGCTGTACGGATAGAGGGGAGATCGACCTGGTATCATCTAAACCACTGTACCAGAGTACCACAAGGGAACCAATTACTTAGAGATGAGGGAGCTGAGGATGCTGGAGCTGGTGAGAATCAGGAGATGGGGGAGGATGGCAATTACTGATGAGCTATGTGTTCTTGCTGATTCCCTCGGAGGAGGGGAAGACCTTCAAGACCTTCAAGACCTTCAAGACCTCCAAGACATCCCAGACCTCCAAGATATTCCAGACATCCAAGACGCACCAGATATTCCCATCATTGATTTCTCTGCCCTTGGCTAGTTCCCCTAAGAATAAGGGGAATGGCATACTGACAATAGTAAAGAGCAAAATAACAAGACAGAGAAGAGAAACAGACAGTATAGACAAATGTATATTCCTGCACAGGC